TCTAAACATAGGAATTTGTATCAGTGTTACTTGTCAAGAAGACATCTGTCATAAACCAGGTCTTGCAGTGGGCTATGGAAAACAATTTGAAGTTCACTGATAAATTCCTGATACAGTACTTCACTGATTAAAATTTTAAGAAATAGCTAGAATAGATCATTCAATACCCTCAGCCAGTCAGGTATCGCACTTTGTAAGAATATTTGTTCTTACAACTCTGTTTATAAATTTTTTAAGGGATTTAGCAGCAGTGAAATCTAAAGATCTTAGTTCTGAGATGATGCTTGTTATATCAGTGGCATGGGCAGTGATATGCTGGAAAATGAAAACTTTGAAAGACTTAGATGCCGAGCTGATGATACCTATATGAATTTAATCAAAGATCTACATTACTGAGAATTCCTAAAGTCCCTTAATTTGTAAATATTTAGATAAAAACATGTTGAACAGCCTATATAAGAAAAGAGCTTTTCACAGCTTGATGAGGAACTACAAGCTGATGAGGGAGAGCATGAGTCCACATTTGTTAATTGAGAAAACAGGAACTTACAGGATACTAGAAAGCTATTAGTGATAGAACAGTGAAATGAGTTGAAAAAAAGTAGTGACAGTAATTGCTACAAGCGAGTATTAAAAAATTATATATGTTAAACACTGAATAAGGGCCACCATGAGTATAACTCTGCTTTTGAGGCTACAAAGAGGTAAATAAATAATCTCGCAAGTGGGAAATAGCACACATGCACACAGCAGCTCTGCCCCTGTAGCTACAGATTGGTAATCACAAGCACATAAAGTAAATCTTCCATACTGCAAGCTAGAAAATTGGCATAGGCCTCATGCAGTTTTCACTTTAATTAGCCACATATTCAATTGAAAGTTAAGAAGCAGGACCAAGAGCTTGAGCTCCCCCTCTGCAAACCAAAATAGGTAGCTACAAATAGGTAATTTCACACACCCATTGCACAAATGTATGCATGCATATCAACATAAGCACTCACTTTATGTACTTGCTATAAAATAAATCTCACATGACTTTAATTATCTCTCTAGCTTTGGCTCTTTGTGCATCTGATTTCTATTTTGTGCACATTTTATAAATACGTAGTCCTGTTACATATACTCTTTGCCTGCTTTTGTATATTTTAGAGGATGGTATGATATAGCTTTAAAGTGGGATATGTGGAAGATGCACATTTAACTAAGTGTTATTACTGTGTGGCCCTTACCAGTTATGTACTGTTTGCATTGCATCATCAGATCCTAAAATTATCAGTTTAAAATAAAATAGTACGGTATGTACCCTCAGCCAGTGATGCATCACCCTCAGTAAGGAGACTTGTTTCCTTCACAACTCTTTATAAATGTTTATCTTAGTTCATGTTGTTACTTTTGGCCACGTATATTTCTCTTTCACAAATGCCCGTTGAAATTCAGACTTGCGTCAGTGAAGTTAGCTTTTTATGTTTTTATACTGTAATTACCCATGTGAGTATTACTGTGTTTAGTTGCAGAACTGCTAATTGGTTTGCAACACACCAAAGAAGGATGGTATATTTTATGCATACTTTTGTGTGCCGATTACTTGATTATGTTCCATACATAGAAGAATAGTGTCCCTAACTTGGGAAGATACAGTGTGTCAGCCTGTGCCTTTACATTAATTATCCCAGGTGTAGAGGTTTGGAGGATATAAGTGTGTTGACTGGAGACATTATTCAGCTTCAGTTGTATAGGTTTGCAATATAATAAATACTTATTGAAAATGTCGTTTATATGCTTTTAACTTCAGTTGAGTTGTTTACCTTGTTAATTTATATAGTATGTAGTTATAAAGGATGGGAAAAGCAGCATCAGTAGTACTGATAATTTTGAACGGATAAACGGCAATTATATATTTCTCGGGTGATAATGGTTGCACATTGCAATCGCTTTATTGCAATATGGCAGATTAGTGACTAGAGGAATAGAGTAAATGACAGAAGAATAGGGAACTGAGCCAATTGATATTGAGATCAGGTTAGTCTTGGTTATGAAAGGGCTGAAATGCCATACACTAATAATGTTGGTTTTAGTGAATGAAAATTTTTGAGGACAATGTCCAGGTAAACCCACCTTGGAAAGACCAGATAGTGAGGTGTGTATACAGAAGGGCATGAATTCTATCAACAATCTCAGGAGAAGGCTAGTGACCAGGAGTGGGAGGACACCTGGCTGTGGTATAACAGGCACAGTAATGTAGTAATATTCAGGTTTATAAACTAAAAGAGGAGGCAGTTAGGGTAAGATATAAACAGCTATTGGAGGATAGATGGGCTAATGAGAGCATAGGAAATGGGGTCGAAGAGGTATGGGGTAGGTTTAAAAATGTAGTGTTAGAGTGTTCAGCAGAAGTTTGTGGTTACAGGAAAGTGGGTGCGGGAGGGAAGAGGAGCGATTGGTGGAATGATGATGTAAAGAGAGTAGTAAGGGAGAAAAAGTTAGCATATGAGAAGTTTTTACAAAGTAGAAGTGATGCAAGGAGGGAAGAGTATATGGAGAAAAAGAGAGAGGTTAAGAGAGTGGTGAAGCAATGTAACAAGAGAGCAAATGAGAGAATGGGTGAGATGTTATCAACAAATTTTGTTAAAAATAAGAAAAAGTTTTGGAGTGAGATTAACAAGTTAAGGAAGCCCAGAGAACAAATGGATTTGTCAGTTAAAAATAGGAGAGGAGAGTTATTAAATGGAGAGTTAGAGGTATTGGGAATATGGAGGGAATATTTTGAGGAATTGTTAAATGTTGATGAAGATAGGGAAGCTGTGATTTCGTGTATAGGGCAAGGAGGAATAACATCTTGTAGGAGCGAGGAAGAGCCAGTTGTGAGTGTGGGGGAAGTTCGTGAGGCAGTAGGTAAAATGAAAGGGGGTAAGGCAGCCGGGATTGATGGGATAAAGATAGAAATGTTAAAAGCAGGTAGGGATATAGTTTTGGAGTGGTTGGTGCAATTATTTAATAAATGTATGGAAGAGGGTAAGGTACCTAGGGATTGGCAGAGAGCATGCATAGTTCCTTTGTATAAAGGCAAAGGGGACAAAAGAGAGTGCAAAAATTATAGGGGGATAAGTCTGTTGAGTATACCTGGTAAAGTGTATGGTAGAGTTATTATTGAAAGAATTAAGAGTAAGACGGAGAATAGGATAGTAGATAAACAAGGAGGCTTTAGGAAAGGTAGGGGGTGTGTGGACCAGGTGTTTACAGTGAAACATATAAGTGAACAGTATTTAGATAAGGCTAAAGAGGTCTTTGTGGCATTTATGGATTTGGAAAAGGCATATGACAGGGTAGATAGGGGGGCAATGTAGCAGATGTTGCAGGTGTATGGTGTAGGAGGTAGGTTACTGAAAGCAGTGAAGAGTTTTTACGAGGATAGTGAGGCTCAAGTTAGAGTATGTAGGAAAGAGGGAAATTATTTCCCAGTAAAAGTAGGCCTTAGACAAGGATGTGTGATGTCACCGTGGTTGTTTAATATATTTATAGATGGGGTTGTAAGAGAAGTAAATGCGAGGGTCTTGGCAAGAGGCATGGGGTTAAAAGATAAAGAATCACACATAAAGTGGGAATTGTCACAGTTGCTCTTTGCTGATGACACTGTGCTCTTGGGAGATTCTGAAGAGAAGTTGCAGAGATTGGTGGATGATTTTGGTAGGGTATGCAAAAGAAGAAAATTAAAAGTGAATACAGGAAAGAGTAAGGTTATGAGGATAAAAAGATTAGGTGATGAAAGATTGGATATAAGATGGAGGGAGAGAGTATGGAGGAGGTGAATGTATTCAGATATTTGGGAGTGGACGTGTCAGCGGATGGGTCTATGAAAGATGAGGTGAATCATAGAATTGATGAGGGGAAAAGGGTGAGTGGTGCACTTAGGAGTCTGTGGAGACAAAGAACTTTGTCCTTGGAGGCAAAGAGGGGAATGTATGAAAGTATAGTTTTACCAACGCTCTTATATGGGTGTGAAGCATGGTGATGAATGTTGCAGCGAGGAGAATGCTGGAGGCAGTGGAGATGTCATGTCTGAGGGCAATGTGTGGTGTGAATATAATGCAGAGAATTCATAGTTTGGAAGTTAGGAGGAGGTGCAGGATTACCAAAACTGTTGTCCAGAGGGCTGAGGAAGGGTTGTTGAGGTGGTTCGGACATGTAGAGAAATGGAGCGAAACAGAGTGACTTCAAGAGTGTATCAATCTGTAGTGGAAGGAAGGCGGGTAGGGGTCGGCCTAGGAAAGGTTGGAGGGAGGGGGTAAAGGAGGTTTTGTGTGCGAGGGGCTTGGACTTCCAGCAGGCATGCGTGAGCGTGTTTGATAGGAGTAAATGGAGACAAATGGTTTTTAATACTTGACGTGCTGTTGGAGTGTGAGCAAAGTAACATTTATGAAGGGGTTCAGGGAAACCGGCAGGCCGGACTTGAGTCCTGGAGATGGGAAGTACAGTGCCTGCACTCTGAAGGAGGGGTGTTAATGTTGCAGTTTAAAAACTGTAGTGTAAAGCACCCTTCTGGCAAGACAGTGATGGAGTGAATGATGGTGAAAGTTTTTCTTTTTCGGGCCACCCTGCCTTGGTGGGAATCGGCCAGTGTGATAAAAAAAAAAAAAAATTCAGTTTTCTAACAAATTATCACAAAGTGAAAGGAAACATCCAAATTCAATCTGTGTGCAGTACAACAGTTCCCCAAGACATGTCCTAGTAGTTTTTATCAAGAGGTATCAACAAATCTATGATTGAAAGTGGTATGACTAGGACATGGGCACTTGTTGAAATCTTAACACACAAGCCATTAAATAGTAAGAGAACTTCTTTAGTTTTAGGATAATGTGTAAAGAGGTAGATTCAAGGCATGAATTGATATGCAATGCATAAAACACAATTCAAGGGTTGGAGTAAGGAAGTGCAGGTTATCCTTGATGCTGTGTATTTTTTATTGGTAAATACTACGTTGAAAATGTCTTATCTAACTGCAGGATAATCCACGGGATTCTCGGCATGCTGAAGAACTGACAATTATCTGTGATGGGGATAAGGTTGGAAATGAAATGCCTTGTGGCTGTAGTTTGCCGTCGTTTCAGTTGACAATAGTAAATATACAATTTAAATCGGAAGTAGCTTTGATGGAGTAGACTTTGCGCATGCTCTGTATAACCTTTATATGATTTACAGTATTTCCTGTATTGTAGCTAAACTTTTTATAATCTTGTATATTAGAACCAGATGACTTTAACAGAGAGAAAATATTTACCCATCAACCATCTAGTATTCATTGTAAAATATGGTTCTGTTTGGATGGAAGAGATATGTATTGATTCTTCGTTTCATACTAGGATTAAGTAAAGGACTGTCAGATATGTTCTGCATTTTTTAACAAGGGCAAGTGTCTTAAATTAATACTTTTGCGAATAAGAAAACTTGAAAAGTTTGAATTGACATCATCATGTTTGTCCTTGATATGAAACTTCATTGCACCCTTGAAAAATAATTTAGATTTAGGAAATGTCTCTAATTTAATCTTAAACTGAATTTTATTGATCAGAATATTCTGATATTTACATTGATAAATATATACAGAGTTTTTTTTTTTTTTTAATTTGTAGAAGGGCAGAAAGGAAAGATTGTGAAAGAATTTATGCTATGTCAGAATTCTGTACACAAGCTTAACCCTGCTATTTATGCAGTCTCAAACCAGTTTTTCTTACTATCCTCTAACTTAAATATATTTGTGTTCTCAATGGCTTCGGATGTCTGCTTAAAATTAGTAGATGACAAACTGCAGCATTGTTGTTGTAAGTAAGATGGCTGGACGTGTTATGTTTTGTTGAAGGCTTTTCCCACTTTCTTCACAGGACATAAGCTCTCCCACTAGTCCCTCTTATGCTGATGTAAGTATATGCCAGACTCTTCTCACAGTTTTGCACTAGATCACACCTCAACATACCACTGTTGTTTGCTAAGTAAGATTCATAAGAGTATTGTTCACTTTAACAAAAGCAGCATTAGGTATGCTCTTTAAATTATACGTTGTATGATGTAAATTGCTTTGTAAGATGTTCATAAGAATGCCTAGAAAGGCATTTCCTACTACTGAGAAAGTACAGTAGCTTTATAACAGACATTAATATTTGTGTAATGAGTTTTACAAGCTGCAACTTAGTAAGTGAAGGATGATCCATGACTATATTTTTTTGTGGAGGGGGGGCAGAGTATCCCTTAGCATGTTAGTTTTAAAAGTTAACTTTCTAAATACAGTTGTCAACCATTGTACTATTTTTCACATTAGGCTGAAATGTAAGATAGATTCAATATTTTCCTTCATCTTGCTATGCTACTGAGTCAGTTTTTTTTTTTTTTTTTTTTTTTTTTTTTTTTTTTTTTTTTTTTTTTTGAGTCCTAAACTTTTGATTTTCAGAAGTTACTTTCTAAAAAGTTTGCCTTAAGGGACTCCAAAATGTGAAAGATGAAAATTTTTTTTAGCTTAGTAATTTCCCTTTTCTTGAAAATTTTTGAACATTAGGAGTACCTATAAAACTACAATTGTTTTTGATAGTTTAACACAAATTTTGTCCCAAAAAAATTAGTGCTATTTAACCTTGTATATATTTATTCCAGTCTTGAAAATATTTTTCAAGTTCAAAAAAAAAACTTCATAACCTTTATACATTTTAGCATAGAACACTCATGTACATCCCAGCCCTTAATATTATAATGTAATTATACTTTCTAAAAGTAATTATTCATTTGATAAAAAATATACGAATGTTCTTGTCCCTTAATTTCATAATACAGTATAATTGTATCTTATCAAACATTCTTTGCTTAGAGAATAAATAATGCAGATGTTCATGCATATCATTGTCTTTTACAGTTGATTATTATTTGAACTGTGATCTCTTTTGCAAATGTACTTCATCATTTTATCTTAGGTAACTTTAACATCAGTTATGCACCTTTTAAAAAGAAATTTTCATATCCCTCATATATAATTTTGCTTCCTTTGTCAACACATTTTCTAATCTTTAGAATATTTATGTATCCTCTGCACTCACATTTGTTACATTTTTACATTTCTTGACACTTCTGTGAAATTATTCTTCATCTGAAAGTATCAAATATTTTAGCTAAACAATCTTTTGGTTTAATTTTCATCATAGTACTTATAGCATTAGTATCTCTTATTTATTAGCTATTGCTTTTTTTTTTTTTTTTTTTAATATTGTAACATTGTTGTTATATCTTAGATTTTTATTTTAATTTTTATTTGATACAGCAATACATTTGTAAGCTACAAGGCTAACATATTCTTTGCAGACTTATGTTACAAGTTCTTCTCGGCCTGCCGAACGAAATGCTTTCGGCATTAAAGATGGTCCTTCAGGCTTAGAACCTCGTGAGTAGCTTTGTTATAGTAGAAAGAATAAAAAGGCTCAATACTGTGACTGGAATAATACACAGTTAACTTACACATAGGAGAATGAAACTTAGGCCAACATCATAAGTTTCATTCTGTGTACTGCTTATTTGTGTTTATAACTGTAACCATATACATATTATGTCTGTAGTTTTGGGTGTATAAATCTGGGATGGAAAGTAGGAGGGGTAGGTGTTCTAAGAACAGCTGGAGGGAAGGGATAGAGGAGGATTTGAGTTGTAGGGCTTGAGCATCCAGCAGTTGTGCATTTCCAAGGTTTTTAAATGTGCTGTTGGAGTGTGAGCAGGGTAATATTTTACAAAGGATTCAGGGACTCTAGTTAGCCAGAATTGAGAATGGAAATAATACAAGGTAGTAACTAGCAAGAAAAATTATTTTATTTTGAACAGTATAAATGAAAGTTGAAAAATTGTGGGTAAGATAAAGTATTTTTTTTTTTTTTTTCAACAAGTCGGCCGTCTCCCACCGAGGCAGGGTGACCCAAAAAAAAAAAAAAAGAAAGAAAATCCCCAAAAAGAAAATACTTTCATCATCATTCATAAAGTATTGAATTGAAAACAAAAGGCACAATACCGTGACTGAAACAATACATGAATAACCCGCACATAGGAGAGAGGAGTGTTCATGTGTTGATATGCTTTGTCGTAAACTTCACCATGGATTATTTGCTTATTTTTTTTTTTTGTTAACACTGGTCATCACCCTACCTCAGTAGGAGACAGCCTGGAGTATACCTGGAGGGGGTTTTGGGGGTCAGTACCCCTGCAGCCCAGTCCGTGACGTCCTCATGGTAGATCAAGGCCTGATCGACTAGGCTGTTACTTCTGGCCGCACATAAACCAATGTACGAACCACACTTGATGGTCAGTTACTGTCTTCAGGTGTTTGTCCAATGTCTTCTTGAAGACAGTCAGGGGTCTGTTGGTAATCCCCCTTGTGTATGTTGGTGTTAATTATTATTATTATTATTATTATTATTATTATTATTATTATTATTATTATTATTATTATAATCAAGGGGGAAGCGCTAAGCCCGGAGGATTATACAACGCCTGGGGGGGGGGGGATGTGGAAGGTATTCAGGCTTAATTCGGGGAACTTGAGCACAGATCCAATTCCCTAAATCAAGAGCCCCTCACCAACATCAAGGAACCTTCCTTTAGGGGATGTTGGTGTTAAAAGGAAAAAAAAAAAGATATGCAAATAATTTCTAGTGAAATTTATAACAAAACAGCTCAACTTATGCATACTACAAGAAGCATAAAAGTTTGTTGAAATTCATGAACGAGCATCATTTCTGAAAAGAATTCGACTCATACTTACATAATTTTTCAACTTTGATTTATAATGTTCAAAATCAAATAATTTTTCTTGCTAGTTACTGCCTTGTATTATTTTCATACTTGTTGTTAGTAATGCTTCTTGCTTAGTGTTGTGTAATAATAATTATCCATAATGGTGTTTTCAGAGCTAGAGGCTGCCCGTCCTCAGACAGTTGGTGAGGAGGAACTACAGTTACAACTTGCTCTGGCTATGAGCAAAGAAGAAGCAGAGCAAGAGGAACAAAAACAGCGTTCTGATGATGTACGACTGCAGATGGCCATCACTCAGAGTGAGGAGGATTTTAAGTAAGTAAACATTTTCTTGAGGTTTGTCCACCCCATCACATTCCTGTTAGTAGTGTAGCCGCCCTGCCACCCTCGTGTGGTGCGGCAACACCTGCTGCCATCTTGTGTGGTGCGGCAACACCTGCCACCCTCGTGTGGTGCGGCAACACCTGCCGCCATCTTGTGTGGTGCGGCAACACCTGCCACCCTCATGTGGTGTGGCAACACCTGCCGCCATCTTGTGTGGTGCGGCAACACCTGCCACCCTCGTGTGGTGCGGCAACACCTGCCACCCTCGTGTGGTGCGGCAACACCTGCCACCCTCTTGTGTGGTGCGGCAACACCTGCCACCCTCTTGTGTGGTGCGGCAACACCTGCCACCCTCCTGTGTGGTGCAGCAACACCTGCCACTCACGTGGTGCAGCAACACCTGCCACTCATGTGGTGCGGCAACACCTGCCACCCTCCTGTGGGGTGCGGCAACACCTGCCACCCTCCTGTGGGGTGCGGCAACACCTGCCACCCTCCTGTGTGGTGCAGCTACACCTGCCACCCTCTTATGTGGTACAACAACACGTACCACCCTCGTTTGTGGTGCGGCAACACCTATCACCCTCTTTTGTGGTGTGGCAACACCTACCATCCTCTTTTGTGGTGCGGCAACACCTGCCACCCTCTTGTTTGGTGCGGCAACACCTGCCACCCTCTTGTGTGGTGCGGCAACACCTGCCACCCTCTTGTGTGGTGCGGCAACACCTGCCACCCTCTTGTGTGGTGCGGCAACACCTGCCACCCTCTTGTGTGGTGCGGCAACACCTGCCACCCTCTTGCATGGTGCGGCAACACCTGCCACCCTCTTGCGTGGTGCGGCAACACCTGCCACCCTCTTGCGTGGTGTGGCAACACCTTCCACCCTCTTGCGTGGTGCGGCAACACCTGCCACCCTCTTGCGTGGTGCGGCAACACCTGCCACCCTCTTGCGTGGTGCGGCAACACCTGCCACCCTCTTGCGTGGTGCGGCAACACCTGCCACCCTCTTGCGTGGTGCGGCAACACCTGCCACCCTCTTGCGTGGTGCGGCAACACCTGCCACCCTCTTGCGTGGTGCGGCAACACCTGCCACCCTCTTGCGTGGTGCGGCAACACCTGCCACCCTCTTGCGTGGTGCGGCAACACCTGCCACCCTCTTGCGTGGTGCGGCAACACCTGCCACCCTCTTGCGTGGTGCGGCAACACCTGCCACCCTCTTGCGTGGTGCGGCAACACCTGCCACCCTCTTGCGTGGTGCGGCAACACCTGCCACCCTCTTGCGTGGTGCGGCAACACCTGCCACCCTCTTGCGTGGTGCGGCAACACCTGCCACCCTCTTGCGTGGTGCGGCAACACCTGCCACCCTCTTGCGTGGTGCGGCAACACCTGCCACCCTCTTGCGTGGTGCGGCAACACCTGCCACCCTCTTGCGTGGTGCGGCAACACCTGCCACCCTCTTGCGTGGTGCGGCAACACCTGCCACCCTCTTGCGTGGTGCGGCAACACCTGCCACCCTCTTGCGTGGTGCGGCAACACCTGCCACCCTCTTGCGTGGTGCGGCAACACCTGCCACCCTCTTGCGTGGTGCGGCAACACCTGCCACCCTCTTGCGTGGTGCGGCAACACCTGCCACCCTCTTGCGTGGTGCGGCAACACCTGCCACCCTCTTGCGTGGTGCGGCAACACCTGCCACCCTCTTGCGTGGTGCGGCAACACCTGCCACCCTCTTGCGTGGTGCGGCAACACCTGCCACCCTCTTGCGTGGTGCGGCAACACCTGCCACCCTCTTGCGTGGTGCGGCAACACCTGCCACCCTCTTGCGTGGTGCGGCAACACCTGCCACCCTCTTGCGTGGTGCGGCAACACCTGCCACCCTCTTGCGTGGTGCGGCAACACCTGCCACCCTCTTGAGTGGTGCGGCAACACCTGCCACCCTCTTGAGTGGTGCGGCAACACCTGCCACCCTCTTGAGTGGTGCGGCAACACCTGCCACCCTCTTGCGTGGTGCGGCAACACCTGCCACCCTCTTGCGTGGTGCGGCAACACCTGCCACCCTCTTGCGTGGTGCGGCAACACCTGCCACCCTCTTGCGTGGTGCGGCAACACCTGCCACCCTCTTGGTGGTGCGGCAACACCTGCCACCCTCTTGCGTGGTGCGGCAACACCTGCCACCCTCTTGCGTGGTGCGGCAACACCTGCCACCCTCTTGCGTGGTGCGGCAACACCTGCCACCCTCTTGCGTGGTGCGGCAACACCTGCCACCCTCTTGCGTGGTGCGGCAACACCTGCCACCCTCTTGCGTGGTGCGGCAACACCTGCCACCCTCTTGCGTGGTGCGGCAACACCTGCCACCCTCTTGCGTGGTGCGGCAACACCTGCCACCCTCTTGCGTGGTGCGGCAACACCTGCCACCCTCTTGCGTGGTGCGGCAACACCTGCCACCCTCTTGCGTGGTGTGGCAACACCTGCCACCCTCTTGCGTGGTGTGGCAACACCTGCCACCCTCTCGCGTGGTGCGGCAACACCTGCCACCCTCTCGCGTGGTGCGGCAACACCTGCCACCCTCTTGCGTGGTGCGGCAACACCTGCCATCCTCTTGTGTGGTACAGCAGCACCTGCCACCCTCTTGTGTGGTGCAACAACACCTGCCACCCTCTTGTGTGGTGCGGCAACACCTGCCATCCCCTTGTGTGGTGCGGCAACACCTGCCACCCTCTTGTGTGGTGCGGCAACACCTGCCACCCTCTTGTGTGGTGGTGTGGCCATCCTCTCACCCACTTGTTAGTGGTGGTGTGGCCATCCTCTCACCCTCTTGTTAGTGGTGCTGATATCCTGCCATCCTCTCCTTAGTGGTGCTGCTATCCTGCCCTCTTATCGTTAGTGATGCTGCTATCCTGCCGTCCTCTTGTTAGTGGTGCTGCTATTGTGCCATCCACTTTTTAGTGGTGCTGCTATCCTGCCATCCTCGTGTTGGTGTGGCCACCCCACCACCTTCCTATTATTGGTACAAATAGCCATGTGCTATATGATGTAAGGAGAGTGAGTTAAGTAGCTGCCAACTCTCACCTTTTATTTATTTTATTTATTTTTTATTTGGAAATGATACATACTTGTACAAAGAAATATAGTGATTGGGTGTACATGCCAAAAGCCCCTTGTATGCAGAGCATTATGGGCAGGCTTAAAATTAACTTAAGATTAACTAAGCAATGATATATTTAGTGGTAAAAATTACAGTAAACAAATTACAACATGAAGTACAAATGAATATTTCAAATGAGAAGCACTAAGTTGTACAAAATTGTAGCGTAACGGTGTATAATATGATCGAGTCAAATCGAGTATAATCAATGATTTGTAGTGCAGAAACAGGTCATGTGGTCATTAGATGAGTTACTGTGCATTCAAGAGAATGGAGTATTCCATTAGGTAATGTAATTAAAAAACAGTTTGATAGGGTCACAGGTTATACATTTATGAGATACAGTTATTCAGTATTTAGTTGTGGTTGAGTAAATGGTTTTTAAGAATCAAGATCAAGTGCTGTGGAGAAGAATCCTTTCCCTGTAAGCCATGTGTGTTGTAAGAGGTGACTAAAATGCCAGAAGCAAGGGGCCAGTAACCCCTTCTGTATAAATTACTTCTTTTTCGGGTCAACCTGCCTCGGTGGGAAATGGCTGATGTGTTAAAATAAAAAAATTATACCTTTCATATTTTTGTAAGATGTGTTTAACAGTTTTTTAAGCAATGTTAATTACATATCCAGTGATAACATAAACTTCAAAGAAAAATGTATCAGTCTTAAACATAAGGTTAATTTACAAGATTTTTTACTTAATTTTGGTGTCTTAGTATTGTGATCTTGTATATACTTCATTTGCCATAATGTATTAAGCAGTACAAAAGAGAAGGCAAGAAGCACTGCGGATTAGATGTTTGAGGGTATGAGTGGAACGAATATTATGTAGGGAATTCAGAGAGTAAAAATTAGAAAATTCTGGTGGTTGCCAAAATTATAATTCAAAAGGCTGAGAAGAGGTTGAGGTAGTTTGGACATTTAGAGAGTATGAGAGGGATAGGATGACAAAGGGAGTGTATAAATCAGGGGTGGAGGGTAGGAGGGATAAAGGTTATCTCAGGAGCACTTGGGGGGTGGGGAGGCAGGGAGGGAGGGAGGGAAGGAAGGAAGGCAGCTCAAAGCTTTAGGGCTTTTGTGAGCATGTTAGGCAGGACTGAATGGAAACAAGTGGTTCTTAATAGACATGCTGTTTGAGTTTGAGCCAGGTAACACTTATGAAGGGATGGATTCAGAGAATACAGTTAGCAAGTATACAACATTGATGAATCGTATAATTAAGCTTTTTGTCAGTGAATTTTTCACTTGTTATGAAATTGCCTATAGTTTAATTGAAGTTGCTCCTTTATGCTACGTTTTTAATAGGCTAATGAATTGATAAATATCATCTTCCAAAGCTGCCCCAAATTAATTTCAGCGTTACAATTATGGCCAACTGTATTTAGTAAAAGTGCCTATCCAAATGAACAATTATCCATCCCATGCACCTGCTGCTTGCTTTTCCTTCCTCTCCCTTACATCATGTTAAGCATATGAAAGAATGGCTGAAGAGTCAAGATTGCAGTGACTGCTAGTAAGATATGACCAATCTAAGAAAAGAGCTAAAACAAGGGAATACTAGGAAATTGCAAGGAAACTAAGGAGTGTGAGTGTGGGGTGTGTTGTGTGAGTGGGGGGTGTGTTGTGTGAGTGGGGGGGGGGTTATGTGTGTGTGGGGGGGTTATGTGTGTGGAAGGGTGTTGTGTATGTTTGGATTTTATAAAATAAGCTAAATTAAAGTATAGTTATCAGTAAGAATCATAATCACTTTCATGCTTTGATGTGTTGCAAACAGGTTGTCAGAATTTCAGAATATATCTGAAACTATATGATTTCATAAGAGATTAGAGTGGCGGCTATATCTGAAACATTATTGTTTTAGACACTGAAAATGTTTCTTATACATGTACTACTGTTCTTTGTATTGGCTTTATTGTTGATAACTGTCAAATTATTTTAAATAATAAATCTAATGTTTATACATGTACATCACGGATTTATTGATATATAATGCATGTTCAAACATTTGTCTCTCTAGGCATGTTACCATTGTATCTTTCTTTTTTTTTTTTTAGGAAAGATTGGTCGCCATCGTAAGTTTTTTCTTGATTTTGTTTGGGGGGTAGTGGTGTAGCATTAGTATTTTTGTTTACGTATGTGCGAAATTATGTATTTGTGCGTGCATGTGTAATTACACACTTGTATTTACAGGGGGTGAGCTCCAGCTCCTAGTCCTGTCTCTTAATTTACAACTAATTGTGTGAGTTCGTATGCTTGTGTGTGTCTCTTGTGTTTACCTGTTGGTCATTACAGGTATTTCATATGTTTTGCCCACATGTCATAAATACAGGAGAAGAGAGAAATTACAGGAAAATTAATATTTCTTTGCACCACTGGCACAATTTCTTCAAAGAAAAGCAAATTCACTTCATGTGAATTTGCTTTTATGGGGTGACCCCATTTCTACCAGTAATTTGTTATATGTACCAATTCCCATTAGTGCTAGTAATTCACTGTATGTATTCAGAATTAGCTATGTGATCACCCAAGCCAAGTGCCACTTGATACTTAAACCAGTTGGGTGTAGGAAATCCAGTGAATTTATTTAAATGAAATCTTTCGGTTGATTTTCAATTTGTCTCGTGCAGTTGAAAGTGGACATCCGACCAGATGAAGTTGGGTTGCAGTGACATAGTCAGGACTAGAGGTGATGGATGAGAGGAATATTAGGAAGATTTGTATTCACAGGCTCATGGTGTGTGAATGTCAGTCCATAGAAAGACAGGCTAGTTGGTAAATGTGGAGATGGGAGGAGGGTAACAGGTATGAGAATTAGTTAATTGGTTGGTTGATGGAGAGGGGGGGGGAAAGTAGGAGGATTAAAGAGTTGGTTGATGGAAGTAGGGTAAAAGGAAACAAGGTTAGAGGTTGAAGTTTGGATGTTATTTTTTTTTTTCTCATTTTTTTTTTTTTTGATCAGTTACATATATTTTAGATGCATGGCTGTTTGACAACATTCCAGTATGCTTTTTGGTTTTTTTTTTTGGAGGGGGGGGGGGCAAAAATAAGTGAAGAAATGGGAATTCTGTTTTCCCTGAAAAAGGGTGAGGATATTGCAAGTGATGGGCATCTGAGCTGCAATGTTGGCACTTCTCTGGCAAGACAGTGATTGAGTGATAGTGAAAGTGTTTCTTCTTTTTTGATTTGCCCTTTCTCAGTGGGAGATGACTGCTGTGTTATAATATAAATAAATAAAATACAGTAGACCCTCAGTTAACGATGTCATTGGATAATGTAAAAAGTCAGATAATGGCACGTTTTTGCGTCAAAATATTGGCTCGGTTAAAGACAATCATCTTGAACGTGTCCGCGCACCGCGAGCGGCCCGGACACTCCATGTACAGCCAGTGCGCCATTGTTTACAACCCAGTAAGGACGATTCCATGCATACATGCGATACATTTTGTATTATTCCATTGTTTTTAGTGCTTGTAACTGCTAAATAAGCCACCATGGGCCCAAAGAAAGCTTCAAGTGCCAGCCCTTTGGTAAAGAGGGTGAGAAACACTGTAGAATTCAAGAATATGAAAGTGGTGGTGGTAGAGGGTGGTAGTATGGGCCAACAGGTCTACTGCAGTGTTCCTGCTTTTTTTATGTACACCAGTCAGGGTATTTCCCCACATACCAGTCAGGGTACTTCCCCACATACCAGCCAGGATACTTCCCCACATACCAGTCAGGGTACTTCCCCATATACCAGCCAGGGTACTTCCCCACATACCAGCCAGGGTACTTCCCCACATACCAGCCAGGGTACTTCCCCATATAGCAGCTAGGGTACTTCCCCACACACAGGATTTGATTTGATTGGGACTTGCACATGAGTGAATAGAATTATCAAAGCTTATTGCTTGGGAAGCATTGAAAAATGGGTTGGGCAAATACAATTCTGTTAGTGGGATGGTTTGTGAAGGACCTGCCTAGTATGGACCAACAGGCCTGCTGCAGTGTTCCTGCTTTCTTTTGTGCTAACATTTATGGATGACCATCACCCTGACACAGCTGTTGCAGGCCATGCTAGCAACATCTACAATGACAGTGTTGTGTCCCATTTTAGGGAAATCTTAGAGACGCCAGAAACAGAGCTCTCTGGACAGATTTTTGGTGTGACAGGGGTCCAGTGACTCTCAAGTTGGTCCTAGTGGCATTAAAAAACAAAGAAGGGAGGTAACCCCAGAAAAGGACTTGTTACCTGAAGTCTTTATGGAAGGGGATTCCTCTTCCAAACAATTGTAAATTCCTCCATCCTCTGTCCTCCCATCTCATCACTCGTCAAATACCTCTTCAATAAGATGTCATTTTATTAATTATTAATGTATTTATTCTGCATGTCTCATTGTTTTCTGTGTAGGGAAATGTATATTTTATGTAAAAAATTATTTTGTTTAATACTTTTGGGTGTCTGGAATGGATTAATTGGATTTCATAATTTCTCATGGGGAAAATTAATTTGGATAATGACAGAATCGGTTAAAGACAAGCTCTCTGGAACAGATTAATGTCGTTAACTGAGGGTCCACTGTATATACGCCTACCATCCTACTTACGACTGAGTTTGGTTCCGAGAAACCTGTCATAAGTCGAAATGGATGTAAGTCGAACTTTACTACTGAATATCAACATAACATTTTTGTAATGACTTTATTATATTGTTTTATTTTGGTATTTCATGTTTTACTTTACTTTTTATGCTGTTAGTACTGTATTTTATACTGTAAGGTTTAGGATAAACACTGTGTACAACACAAACACTTGTTTATTTCCCTGAAATTTGACATAAAAAAACACGGTCGTAAGTCGAGTCGTTGTATGTCGGATGGTAGGTGTATATACAGTGAAACATCTCATTAATGGACTAATAGGAGGGGGAGAGGGTGTATAATAATACCAGTTGTTTGCAACTCCCAAATTATGAAACTTTCATGATAGTCCAGTTGTCTTCTGTAGTAGTGGACTTCGTCTGCTTGTGTGGAAGACAACCGGACACTATGAATACGGGTATTGTAACCTATAGTATGACAGTACATTACTGTACAGTGGACCCTCGTTTTTCGTAATTAATCCGTTCCAGAGAGTGTGACTAATGGCGAAATTGACGATTTGTGAAACCATTTTCCCCATAAGTAATAATGTAAATCAAATTAATCCGTTCCAGACCAAAAGTATTGACAAAAAATATTTATTTTACATGAAATATAGATTTACATACAGAGAAAACAATGAAACATGAATAAAACAATAATATCACAGATACCTTTATTGAAGACTCTTGTTGGTGTATGAATAAAATGTCATTATGTATGTTAGGAATTATAGTGGCGGCAGGGGATAGTCCTTCAATATGGCACTATTATCAACTCTAAGGCTTGTTTATCTATCACAATTTGTCTAATATGACATAATAAACAATATTAATAACATAGAAACATGACATATACTCTAGAATGAATAAAATGTCATTATGTATGTGACCAGTGGTGTTGTGTTGTTATTGGGTGTATAAGGGCCACTGAAGGCATAAGCCTTATGTAGTGGTGGTGAAGGCGGTAGCAGAGGCGGCGGTGTTGTAAAGTGGCCCTATATACCTCCAACAACATTGGAGAAGTCAGTTTTGTGATGTCCTTTTTCTATCGATTGATCGCTTAACTTGCTACACTGTTAATAATACACTTTATCGCTGGCTGGCGCTCTAGCCTTTATCAACTTCTGCTGCTTTAGTATGGTAAATATCGTAGAATCACTGAAGAAGGCACACACTGCCCTCTCTGTTCCTCCTCCACTTTGGTACTTTGCTACGAGTTCTTTCTTGAATTCAATTGTGTGTCTCACCTTTACCAAAGGGCTGGCACTAGGAGCTTTCTTTGGGCCCATGGTGGCTTATTTAGCAGTTGCAAGCACTAAAACGAATGAAATATGTATTACGAAATGTATCCTATGAACGCGTAGGATCGTGCTCACTCACTGGTAAACAATGGCACACTGGCTGTCAATGGTGTGTGGGGCCGCTCATACGCATCTGGGACGAATGACTATTTGCGAGTCAATATTTTGACGAAAAAACTTTGATTTGCAAAAATTATGACTTCCAATGCTTACAAAAAATGAGGGTCTATTGTATGAGTAATTTTATAGTACTCTACATAATTTACAGTAATTTTACTTGCCTTTTTATGGTGGAGAGATGAGTAAACTATCATGATTGATAGTGGCAACTCAGAGTAACTTTTGAATTGCAACAGCTGTTAAGCTCCTCTTTATGTGTTCACACTGGACAGTTGTCGGGGTTAAAGGACTTGGCCTGGTATTTCATAAGACAACTTGACACTTTTGCTACAAATAAAAATGTGGAATTACAGATTTTTGTCCATTTTATCCAATAATTAGAATGTTTGCTTCCCCCCCCCCCTCTCTCTCTCTCTCTCTCTCTCTCTCTCTCTTTCTCTCTCTTTCTCTCTCTTTCTCTCTCTCTTTTCTCTCTCTCTTTCTCTCATCTTTCTCTCTTCTCTTTCTCTCTTCTCTCTTCTCTCTTTCTCTCTCTCCTTTCTCTTTCTCTTCTCTTTCTCTCTTCTCTCTCTTTCTCTCTTCTCTCTTTCTCTTTCTCTCTCTCTTTCTCTCTTCTCTTTCTCTCTCTCTTTTTCTCTCTCTTTCTCTCTCTCTCTCTTTCTCTCTCTCTCCCCTTCTCTTTTTCTTTCTCTTTCTTTCTCTCTCTCTTTCTCCTTTTCTCTCTCTCTTTCTCTCTCTCTTTCTCTCTTCTCTCTCTCTTTCTCTCTCTTTCTCTCTCTTTCCCCTTCTCTTTCTCTCCCCTCTTTTCTCTCTCTTTCTCTCTCTTCTCTTCTCTCTCTCTCTCTTTCTCTCTCTTTTCTTCTCTTCTCTCTCTCTTCTCTCTCTTCTCTCTCTTTCCTTCTCCTTCACTCTCTCTTCTTCTATTCTTCCTCTTTTCTTCTCTCTTTCTCTCTTCTCTCTACTCTCTCTTTCTCTCTCTCACTCTCTCTCCTCTTCTATCTCCTCTCTTCTCTCTTCTCTCTCTCCTCTCTCTCTCTCTCTCTTCTCTCTCAAAAATCCATTAATGGGAGGTTTTACTGTGTATTTATGTACACATATATGTATGCATGTGTGTGTATATATGACCATTTAGTGTATGAATAGTAAGTTCATTTTTCTGTGCACTTTAATCAAGTAATGTGGAACTTTTAATGTATGAAAATGAGCCTCTTACATGTTACATTGGTCCAAGAACGTATGAATTATAGACAGCAAGGGACACTTGTACTAGAAAGTACTTCTTCACTCACATATATACTAGGTAGCTGGAATTTAATCCAAGAGAAGAGGGTGCGTGTTCTGTTATTGCACTTTGCTAATCACTACTGGGATATTGCATTTTTTATGCTTCTTTTAAACATGATGCAGTTGTGAATCTTATTCTTTTCATTTAACCTTAAATACATACTCTTTCAAATACCTAATCACGGCAAGCATTGGGCATTGTTATTTTTACCACAGGGAGTTCAAACGCCACCAGAAAGAGGATATGTCAGCAATGAATGACCTTCTAGATATCAATTTTAATCCTCATGGGGGAGTTAATGGAGCAGGTGCACGGTCAGCCTCTACTCCTCCATGTCCCACTTCACTAGATCCCTGGGGGATGCCAACTCCTGCCACTTCTGCATCTCCACAGCATACCACTCAACCCAAGGTGAGTTTGTACTTACAATGACAATACTTTAGAATTTCATTTTTACTTGTCAAGTTGGATGATTTGAGAGGTTCCTAGGTTGCATTTTTTTTTTTCAACAAGTCGGGCCCACTCCCACCGAGGCAGGGTGACCCAAAAAGAAAATACTCTCGTCATCATTCAATACTTTCACCTCACTCTTACATAATCTGTCTTTGCAGAGGCGCTCAGATACGACAGTTTAGAAGTCCCTCCAAACTGTACATTTGATATATATTTGATATATAATTCTATATATATAATTACAGGGCCTGCACTCTAGAGGAGGGGTTAGAGATATTTGCTATTTGGAGGGACATCTGAACTGTCACATTTAGGTTCCTCTGGCAAGACAGTGATTGTGTGAATGATAGTGAAAGTGTTTCTTTTTTTTTGGTCACCTAACCTTAGTGGGAGATGGCTAGTATGTTCAGATATTTGGGAATGGACGTGTCGGTGGTCGGGTATGTGAAAGATGAGGCGAACCATAGAATTGATAAAGGAAAAAAAAGTGGGTGGTGCATTGAGATATCTGCAGGGACAAAAACACTATCCATAGAGGCAAAGAGGGGAATATATAAGAGTATAGTGGTGCCAACACACTTATACATGTACAGTGGACCCCCGCATAACGATGGCATCACATAGCGATTTTTCCGCATACCGCTTACTTTTATCGCAAAATTTTTGCCGCGCATACCGATTAAAAACCCGCTCACCGATTTTCGTCCGAGACGCGTCCAATGTGCCCTCACATGTGCCGCCCGTCCCATTGTTTACCAGCCAGCCTCCGCGGTAACATCCAAGCATACACTCGGAATATTTCGTATTATTACAGTGTTTTCGGTGCTGTTTCTGGAAAATAAGTGACCATGGGCCCCAAGAAAGCTTCTAGTGCCAACCCTGTGGTAAAAAGGGTGAGAATTTAATGGAAATTAAAAATTTGAAGGTTTGGGGCTAACCCTGAGAAGCCTGATGCAGTGTGTGGTGAATCATTGTGCCTACTTTCAAAGATTAGGAAATGTGGTGGGCATCAGTGGTGTGAAACTGCAAACTTTAAATGAAAATCACCCTGACAAAGCTATTCAGCCGTCTGGTGACTATTTCAATTGACAATGTGGCCCATTTGACATCGTAAAGAACGGGGGGGTAAGAGACTCTATGCAGATTTGGATGGGACAATCTGACTGTCACATGGTCCTTGGCAAAGGAGGGAAACAGGATTGTCTGAATGAAGGGAAAGGGGGTGTTTTCTTTTTCTTTTCGTCCTCCACCTTCATGACCAGATGCTAGTAATGTTCATGTATTTTGGGTGCATGGACGTTTTTCAGGTGGTGTGTATTAAAATGAGCATTTCATGAATAAAAAAAAAAAATTTGTGCATATTTGGGTTCTGCAGGATAAATAACCATTATTCATTAGGGCAAAATGCATAAGGGATTATTATAAAGTATATTGAGTGTAACAACTTATCCACTGTATTGGTATGAAGCTTAGGTTGTAAATGTTGCAGTGAGGAGGAGGTTGGAGGCAGTGGAGATGTAGTGTCTAAGAGCAGTGTGTGGTGTAAATCTATCACACACTCACAGGCAAGCATGTGAGAGTGTGATAGATTGGAGTGACTTAAGGCAAGTGGTTTGTGGGACCTGATAAGCTGCTGGAGTGTGAGCAAAGTAACATTTTGTGAAGGGATTCAGGGAAACAGGTCAGCCAAACTTGAGTCTTGGAGGGTGAGAAGTACAGTGCAGGAAAATGCTTCAAAGCTTGTTAATATGTACACGTATTGTGTTTGTAGATGAATGGTTCAGAGAACCGACATGTTGATAAATTAGACACATGTGCAACTCTTGGGTATCTTTATTGAGGAAACGTTTCACCACACAGTGGCTTCATCAGTCCATATGTAGGAGAAACTTGAAGAACAGGAGGAGAATGAGGTAATCAGTCCCTCAACCTTGAGTCGATGTGTTCAGTCCATCAATCTTGAATAGATTAATGGACTGAACACATCGACTCAAGGTTGAGGGACTGACTACCTCATTCTCCTCCTGTTCTTCAAGTTTCTCCTACATATGGACTGATGAAGCCACTGTGTGGCGAAACGTTTCCTCAATAAAGATACCCAAGAGTTGCACATGTGTCTAATTTATCAACACGTATTGTGTATCCATCTTGCTTGGCGTAAGAACCACCGCAGTCTCTAGTGATGAAAGGAACTCATATTAAGCTTTGTTTATAAATTTTGTTTTAATTTTTAGTTAGAAAGGTTTGTCATTTTAAAATAAATTCTGAGAATATACAGGCACATTTAATATTGTAGGTTGGTTTCATAAAAAAAAAAAGCCACAACTTTAAAAGAGGAGGTAACCAAGCAAAAAATATATGGGCTGTCTTGATAGATATTTGCATTCCAAAAACTTATGCTTAACATTCTACCTTTATACTGCTTCAAAATGTAATTCTTTCCAGATGTAATTGGCAGGTCAGAATAATGCATGCCGAGGCTTTTGGGAAAAAATGTTGATTTTTTTTTCCTAGTAATTGTTTTAGTAATTGTTTTAGCAAGCGTGCATGAACGTGTTAGATAGGAGTGAATGGAGACGAATGATACTTGGGACCTGACGATCTGTTGGAGTGTGAGCAGGGTAATATTTAGTGAAGGGATTCAGGGAAACCGGTTATTTTCATATAGTCGGACTTGAGTCCTGGAAATGGGAAGTACAATGCCTGCACTTTAAACGAGGGGTTTGGGATATTGGCAGTTTGGAGGGATATGTTGTGTATCTTTATACGTATATGCTTCTAAACTGTTGTATTCTGAGCACCTCTGCAAAAGCAGTGATAATGTGTGAGTGTGGTGAAAGTGTTGAATGATGATGAAAGTATTTTCTTTTTGGGGATTTTCTTTCTTTTTTGGGTCACCCTGCCTCGGTGGGAGACGGCCGACTTGTTGAAAAAAAAAAAAAAAAATTTAATGGTAGTAGGTTGGTAGACAGCAACCGCCCAGGGAGGTACTACCGTCCTACCAAGTAAGTGTAAAACGAAAGCCTGTAATTGTTTTACATGATGGTAGGATTACTGGTGTCTTTTGTCTGTCTCATAAATATGCAAGATTACGGGCATGTCTTGCTACTTCTACTTACACTTAGGTCACACTACACATACATGTACACGTTTATTTATACACACTCATCTGAGTTTTCTTTGATTTTATCTTAATAGTTCTTGGTCTTATTACTTTTCCTTTTATATCCATGAGGAAGTGGAATAAGAATCTTTCCTCCGTAAGCCATACGTGTTGTAAAAGTCAACTAAAATGCCGGGAACAATAGGCTAGTAACCCCTTTTCCTGTAAAGATTACTAAAAAGAATAAGAAGAAGAAAATTGTCAAAGTGGAAAGCCTGAATGTGCGTGGATGTTGTGCAAATGATAAGAAAGAGATGATTGTGGATATTATGAATGAGAAGAAGCTGAAGGGGGTGGGAGAGTTTCAGTGGAGAGGAATAAATGGGATTAGGTCAGGGGTTTCAAATAGAGTTAGAGCTAAAGAAGGAGTAGCAATAATGTTGAAGGATAAGCTATGGCAGGAAAAGAGGGACTATAAATGTATTAATTCAAGGATTATGTGGAGTAAAATAAAGGTTGGATGTGAAAAGTGGGTTATAGTAAGTGTATATGCACCTGGAGAAGAGAGAAATGTAGAGGAGAGAGAGAGATTTTGGGAAATGTTGAGTGAATGCGTGGGGAGTTTTGAACCAAGTGTGAGAGTACTTGTGGTTGGGGATTTCAATGCTAAAGTGGGTAAAAATGTTGTGGAGGGAGTAGTAGGTAAATTTGGGGTGCCAGGGGTAAATGTAAATGGGGAGCCTTTAATTGAGCTATGTGTAGAAAGAGATTTGGTAATAAGTAATACATATTTTATGAAAAAGAGGATAAATAAATATACAAGGTATGATGTAGCACGTAATGAAAGTAGTTTGTTAGATTACGTATTGGTGGATAAAAGGTTGATGGGTAGGCTCCAGGATGTACATGTTTATAGAGGGGCAACTGATATATCGGATCATTATTTAGTTGTAGCTACAGTTAGAGTAAGAGGTAGATGGGACAAGAGGAAGGTCGCAACAACAGGTAAGAGGGAGGTGAAAGTGTATAAACTAAGGGAGGAGGAAGTTCGGGTGAGATATGAACGACTGTTGGCAGAAAGGTGGGCTAGTGCAAAGATGAGTAGTGGGGGGGTTGAAGAGGGTTGGATGAGTTTTAAAAATGCAGTATTAGAATGTGGGGCAGAAGTTTGTGATTATAGGAGGGTGGGGGCAGGAGGAAAGAGGAGTGATTGGTGGAATGATGAAGTAAAGGGTGTGATAAAAGAGAAAAGTTAGCTTATGAGAGGTTTTTACAAAGCAGAAGTGTTATAAGAAGAGCAAAGTATATGGAGAGTAAAAGAAAGGTGAAGAGAGTGGTGAGAGAGTGCAAAAGGAGAGCAGATGATATAATGGGAGAGGCACTGTCAAGAAATTTTAATGAAAATAAGAAAAAATTTTGGAGTGAGTTAAACAAGTTAAGAAAGCCTAGGGAATATATGGATTTGTTAGTTAAAAACAGAGTAGGGGAGTTAGTAGATGGGGAGAGGGAGGTATTAGGTATATGGCGAGAATATTTGGAGGAACTTTTAAATGTTGAGGAAGAAAGGGAGGCGGTAATTTCATGCACTGGCCAGGGAGGTACACCATCTTTTAGGAGTGAAGAAGAGCAGAATGTAAGTGTGGGGGAGGTATGTGAGGCATTATGTAGAATGAAGGGGTAAAGCAGCTGGAACGATAGGATCATGACAGAAATGTTAAAAGCAGTGGGGATATCGTGTTGGAGTGGTTGGTAAATGTATGAAAGAGGGGAAGGTACCTAGGGATTGGCAGAGAGCATGTATAGTCCCTTTATATAAAGGGAAGGGGGACAAAAGAGATTGTAAAAATTATAGAGGAATAAATTTACTGAGTATACCAGGAAAAGTGTGCGGTAGGGTTATAATTGAAAGAATTAGAAGTAAGACAGAATGTAGGATTGCAGATGAGCAAGGAGATTTCAGAGTGGGTAGGGGATGTGTAGATCAAGTGTTTACATTGAAACATATATGTGAACAGTATTTAGATAAAGGTAGGGAAGTTTTTATTGCATTTATGGATTTAGAAAAGGCATATGATAGAGTGGATAGGGGAGCAATGTGGCAGATGTTGCAAGTATATGGAAAAGGTGGTAAGCTACTAAATGCTGTAAAGAGTTTTTATGAGGATAGTGAGGCTCAGGTTAGGGTGTGTAGAAGAGAGGGAGACTACTTATCAGTAAAAGTAGGTCTTAGACAGGGATGTGTAATGTCACCATGGTTGTTTAATATATTTATAGATGGGGTTGTAAGAGAAGTAAATGCTAGGGTGTTCGGGAGAAGGGTGGGATTAAATTATGGGGAATCACATACAAAATGGGAATTGACACAGTTACTTTTTGCTGATGATACTGTGCTTATGGGAGATTCTGAAGAAAAATTGCGAAGGTTAGTGGATGAGTTTGGGAGTGTGTGTAAAGGTAGAAAGTTGAAAGTGAACATAGAAAAGAGTAAGGCGATGAGGGTATCAAATGATTTAGATGAAGGAAAATTGAATATCAAATTGGGGAGGAGGAGTATGGAAGAAGTGAATGTTTTCAGATACTTGGGAGTTGATGTGTCGGCGGATGGATTTATGAAGGATGAGGTTAATCATAGAATTGATGAGGGAAAAAAGGTGAGTGGTGCGTTGAGGTATATGTGGAGTCAAAAAACGTTATCTATGGAGGCAAAGAAGGGAATGCATGAAAGTATAGTAGTACCAACACTCTTATATGGGTGTGAAGCTTGGGTTGAGTGCAGCAGCGAGGAGGCGGTTGGAGGCAGTGGAGATGTCCTGTCTAAGGGCAATGTGTGGTGTAAATATTATGCAGAAAATTAGGAGTGTGGAAATTAAGAGAAGGTGTGGAGTTAATAACAGTATTAGTCAGAGGGCTGAAGAGGGGTTGTTGAGGTGGTTTGGTCATTTAGAGAGAATGGATCAAAGTAGAATGACATGGAGAGCATTTAAATCTATAGGAGAAGGAAGGCAGGGTAGGGGTTGTCCTCGAAAAGGTTGGAAGGAAAGGGTAAAGGAGGTTTTGTGGGCGAGGGGCTTGGACTTCCAGCAGGCGTGCATGAGCGTGTTCGATAGGAGTGAATGGAGACGAATGGTATTTGGGACCTGATGATCTGTTGGAGTGTGAGCAGGGTAATATTTAGTGAAGGGATTCAGGGAAACCGGCTATTTTTATATAGCTGGACTTGAGTCCTGGAAATGGGGAGTACAATGCCTGCACTCTAAAGGAGGGGTTTCGGGATATTGGCAGTTTGGAGGGATATATTGTGTATATTTATACGTATATGCTTCTAAACTGTTGTGTTCTTAGCACCTCTGCAAAAACAGTGATTATGTGTGAGTGAGGTGAAAATGTTGAATGATGATGAAAGTATTTTCTTTTTGGGGATTTTCTTTCTTTTTGGGTCACCCTGCCTCGGTGGGAGACGGCCTACTTGTTGAAAAAAAAAAAACATTAATGTGTGTTGAATCATGGAATAACCACCTGCTCAAAAGAGCAACTAATAATAGAGCTGCTGTAATCAGAACTTGTCTGTATATAGAACATTAATATTTTCAGATTTGAGTCAAATAATTAAGAAATTTATATTTTTAGGATTGGAATCAAATAATTAGTAAAACTAGATGATTTGGATGGATGTAGTCATCGCACTAGGAATAGCGGTGTTTTGTGTATGAATAAAGTGATGTAGAGGTGTTTTGAGCACTTTTTTTATTTATTTCAAAGCCATATAAAACTGCATTTGTGCAATGAGAAATTTGAATCATGTAATACATATAATATTCTCAAACCATTATATAAATTTCAATTTTTTTTCTAAATTCCTCCAGAGTTTAGATGTTTTTCAGGCATCACATAGCAGATTGTTCTTAGCTATGTGGTTTATTGGGCTCATGGCCCATTCGGGCCATGGCCTACTGTGAGAAATGCTAGGTCACCATATATCTTTTATATCTTCTACTCGGCCTTTATATGCAATGTGTTATTTTCCTCTCAGTAATTGACCCACTTGCTCTCCTTCATTGTTCTCTATTCTTAACGCTAGCTAGGTAAGTACAGCTAGGAAGCACATCTGTCTCATGCTTAGCAGATGGAGGATCAAGCCACCAATATGTCTTGCACTGAATGACCCATGTGGGTTTGGCATTTGTCATGAATTATTACATTAAAAAAATTATCTTAAGGCTATTCATATATAGTATGTGATCATTCTTGTCGCCTATGCCAGTCCATTAGCTCAGGTTCTTGTTGATCAGTCATATTGGCAACGATGACTACATATATAAAAGTCCATAGGGAGAGAGTGATCTAGTAATTAAAAGTGCTGTGATTGTTGTGAATTTTGTTAATTTTTTTTTTTTTTTCAAAACAGTGATAGTTGTTCAGCAACTCACAATATTTTTAGAACATGATTCTAATCATCTTGAGGAATGGACAGGATTTAAGCCCATGGCAAGCCAGTCCTAAACTTAGCAGGAAACTGCTCTAAACACTACACCATACTGTCCTATTAAAATGCATCCAATTAAGTATATTTTTGTACACAAGTTGGTGTGGGATTCATCTGTAGAAACCCTTCACTTGTGATCACAGTGAGGCTCATGCTAATGTGTCTATTGTTTGGAAATATACATAGTTGGATGAATCTTCATAAGCCTGCATGGTGGGGTGGTTAGAGTACTAGTTTCTAATTTTAGGACCGGTTTGCCATGGTTTCAAGTCATGTCTGTTCCACAAGTTATAGCAGTGTACATCGTAAATACAACTGTTTTTTAATGTTAATGTCGGATACTTAAGGTGTATACCTGGAACATACTTGGAGAGGGTTTCGGGGGTCAGCGCCCCCGTGGCCCGGTCTGTGACCAGGGGCCTTGCCTGTATGACAGAGTATTTGTATATATTAGTGATTTATTGTACAAGTAAATATATGGATATATATTTAACATTTAAGATCTCTTCTTAAACAGTATTTGTGCATTATGTATTTTTAATGAATCACCACAGATTCATTTCAAATTTTATTCTAATTTCCTAAGATTCTCACTGTAACCTGTATATTTATTCTTTGTCAGTTTTTTGTACAGTTCCCTTAATTTTTATATACAGTATTTAGCTCCCTACATTCATAAATACTTTGTCAGGGGAAATTTTCATATGAGAAAACTTTGATAACCATAAAAAGGTAACATAAATGTTTCTTAACCATGTAAGGTTTTCATCACCTCACAGCATACTTGCTGTTTTCTTCAAAGTTTATTTCACTCCTTCCCTCAGAGTTTACCTGCTGCAGGCTACACTCCATCGCCACCTCCCATCCCCCCTCTCCCAGCATCCAGCTCTTCACTTTTGTCCTCTTTCTCATCTCCTAAGATAACTTTCAGATACTCAAATCCTCCTCAGTTCAGTTCAACAGCTTTTGAATTACCTGATGAGTGGCATCGTTCATCTACCCCACCCAATCCTTTTATGAGTGACACTAATAAATTGTCTCTTTCACCAAGAGGTCGAGAAAACACACTGCCTTCAATGAGGAATGTTTCCTCAATGACACTTGGATCATATTCAACTTCTTCGCTGTTGCTCACTCCACCTCCACAACAAAGTATTTCTTCTTCTCTACCATCTAGCTATTCACTGTTTCCCCAGGTGTCAACTTCATTTCTCAGTCCTCCTCTTCAGCGTTCCTCTGTTTCTTCCCCTCGTCCTGCTTCTTCTCTTTCTTGCACTACTCCTTCTGAACCACCTGCAGATATTTCCTCACTGTCCCCTTCCTCATACAACCCTTGGGGTGCTGTTCAGGTCAACATTGCAACTGTTACAATGCCTCCTTCAGACAAGGTACTGGTAAAGATCTTGTGTGACGTGCCTTTGCATTTGCTTGACTAATACTATACAGGACTGCCACAAAACAATTTTCGTATTTTTTATTTGACATGTCTAAGTTATAACCAAAGAAAGGTTTAGACCTAAAGCAATGAGCCTACATATTAAATACCACCACATGGCAGAATGCTTGACTTTATTGATTGGGAGCCAGCATATTGTATATATCTATTTTGAAAAAAGTTTGTCATAATTATTCTATTGAAGTTTATTCCATTTTTGCAACAGTTTACATTATTTTGATTATTTTATTTTGAGATTTGTTTTCTTACTTAGTTCCCATTATTCTTTGAAGTGCAACCATGTAGTTATGTATTGTTCTTTATTAAATATAAAAGTTCAGTATATTGGTATTCACTTCAAAAGTAATTGTGAAGCTTAAAGTTTGATACTAATAGTAATGCTGTTTTAATTTAAAGCAACCACAGTGCCTCCAGATTTGTAAACTTTGATTCTTCTACACTTTTACAGAAAGGCCTCCCAAGAATAATTTAGATTTCATGTTTTTCTTTTCTTTGCCTGTTGTTATGGCTTACTGCACAACCCCTAAATTGAAAACTCCCAAAAGAATTTCATTCAAAATGTGCTCATTGGATTTACCAATGCCCAAATTTCTTTCTGGACCTTCTTTTGTATGAGGATAATGCAGTATATTCACTAAAACCAACCTCACTAATAAGGTGATAGAGTAAAATTGCTGGGGACAAAGATATTATGTCTATCACCTTCCCATCACTCACTTGTGAATATAAGATGGACAAATTCTTCATGTGTGTGGAAGGGCTCTTTTATTAACAAATAAAGGTTTTAAACACAATGGTGTTAGAGATGAAAATAGCTTAATCTCGTATTTTTGCTAAGTGAAAGCCAGAGGTGTGTAGCAGTGTGGAAACAAGTCTGGCCTCCAAAACTCAGTAGCTCTGACTTTTTATGTTTCATGTTGCCATTAGTAGTTATTACTTAATTATCTCCAACTGTCATTGTCATAAGCAAGGAAGGGAATCACTAGAGGAAGTTACTGGCAGTGGCTCATCTATCAACTGTGAGAGATAGAGGAAATTGGAAAGGTAAAAAGTAGAAATGGGTCAGTGTGAAATGAGGAATGGGAGAGGGAAGCAAATCTCTCAAGAGTTCATAGTTATTTAATCCTCCCCTTCACCCACCCACTCAAAAAATAATGGAGTTAGATATGAAATATATTGTTATCCCAGTCCACATCTCAAGTAATAACATGGGTACCTGTGGGAAAATGTGATTTGCTGAATATATGTCCTGCTTAACAAAACCTTTTTGTCCATTCCCTATCTAGGTCAAGAATGGGTCAACTGTGTTATTGTATATTGAATTTTAACAGAGCTAATTATTTAAAACATATTGTATGGAGTAATTTAACTATGTAATGCAAAAATATAGTTGAATGTCAGTATTATATCAATAGTTTAAAACATCATTTCTCTCATGCTTGATTGTTGATACAATTGTTTCATGGGATAGATGCACTTTTATTAATGAGAATATGGATGAGTGGCACATAGTGAAGATGGTTTAATTTAGGGGTTATTACACGTACCGATTAGATTACTGATAAAGTAGGGCATTGTTTATTCTGGGCTTGGTAAATTGAGAACTGCAGCCTAATGGAAAAGTTAAGCTGGCTGCTACTTGCACCCTCTTAACTTCAAAAAGTCATTTGAAGTTGGCAACTAGTTTTCTGTAGTCACTGTAAGCATCCTGCACTGTAGTATACCACCTGGTCTTTTGTTTACAAGTTCCCAGTCAGCCTGAAGTATAGGTGGGGATGTTGCTATATGGAGGGTCATTTATATTGTAATGTCTGTGCACTTCTGGCAAAACTGCTAATGACTAAGTGACAGTTGTGTGTCTTCTCTTGGTCACTGCATTAGCAGAAAATTGCAAGTGTGATAAAACAAAAAAAGCTAGTTTTAACTAGTTTTGCCTGTATTATTTAGTATTATACTTAATACAGCATAAAGTAATGACTGATAAGCATAAAATAGTTACAATAATGTCAAGTGTGCCAGGTGTGCAGGGAAGGTTTACCTGTCTCTGGATTTGCCTTCATAGATGAAGCCAATGGGTTTTCATGCAGAAATGGAGATTTAAATTAATCCAAGTCACAATACTGTGGCTGCTACAAATCACAATTGGCCCATTGTGTGGAGAGGCAGCTTAAAATATCCAAACCCTAAACAGGTTGATTTTGAATCCATGGCGAGTGAGTCTTAAAAATCCAGGCCTGGAATTTTAAGATTCTCGCCATGAGTTCAAACCCCACCCATTCCGTGGTTTGTTTACAATCTGTTATTTTGATTTTTGTGAGTTTAAATGACCTTTTGTTCTGGTCTGCACCATTATCAAGTCATGTTGTCTCTTAATAATGTTTTTAATTTTAGATTTGTCAAGTATTTTGCTCTTGTGTATTTATGTATGTAGGTATTTTTTATTTATTTATTTATCTATGTGGAAAAGCATGAAACTGTTCATTGCCTGTTTTCTTGCTTGTGCAACACTGAAATTAGATGGGTTAGCATTAATGACTTTGCTGTTGCAGTGCAAGAGTTTGTTAATGACTTTGCTGTTGCATTATCAGTTCAGTATTAGTGGCCTAAGTTGTAGTGTCAAGAGTTGAAGCATTAGTGAACTTTCTCTTGCAGTGCCACTTAATTTAGCACTAGTAACCATTCTGTTGAAATGCCAGTTTTAGTGTCCTTGCTGTTGGTGTCAGTTTGTGTTAGTAACCTTTCTGTTGCAGTGCCAGAGATTGTCAGTAACCTTGCTGTTGCAGTGCCAGAGATTGTCAGTAATCTTACTGTTGCAGTGCCATAATTTGCTTACAATTAGTGGCTTTGTGGTTGCAACACCATAGTCTCTCTCAGCATTTGTGATCTTGCTGTTGCTATTCTGGTGAAATTAAAATAATTATCTACGTTCTGTTCTCCAGGTATCACTTGTATTGTCAAAATTCATATTTTTGTATTGGCAATTTGTAAACGATACATATGACAAACTTCAAACAATTAGCAACTCCAGTTTTTCTTTTGCAAAATATGTCTTCAGTTATCTTACAATTTAATGGGCTTTGTTTTATGCAATAAAAGTATTATGTAACTGGTCTTACTGTTTACAAACAGTGTTGTAAAGGGTTACATTTTTAAACCATTGTTGGTATTGTTCGATAAAATCGCTAGGAGTATATGAAAACTTAACAAAATGTCCTCTCAGCTTCATGGATCAGAAAAAAAAAAAAGTTTGCATCCATTTAATATTTTGTGATTTTTCTTGGTTGATTTATTATTATTATTTTATTATTATTAATTTTTTCCCTGTTGTATTACATAATCTCTAGTTGTTAATCACTATTGTTTTGTCATTTTTTTTTTTTTGTTGAATATACAGTACAGTTGTTGAGAATGGTTTTATGCATTGATTTAAAACTAACAGATATTCTTGATAACTCATGAAATAAGAAGTTTTACTAAAATTAATAAGTGTAGTCCCCTGGTGGTCATATGTTGAACAAATATAACTGTCTTTGTGCAGGCATAACTGCACTACATTTATCAGTAGTAGTATTTGGTATTGACAAGTAGGGTAATTAGACAGAACGTGTTGTGTATGGCGTCTTGAGAAGACATTTCGTCCACCAGCGACTGTATGTTTGTAGAATTGATGACAATATACGAAATCTATGGAGGCAAAGAAGGGAATGTATGAAAGTATAGTAGTACCAACACTCTTATATGGGTGTGAAGCTTGGGTGGTAAATGCAGCAGCGAGGAGACGGTTGGAGGCAGTGGAGATGTCCTGTTTAAGGGCAATGTGTGGTGTAAATATTATGCAGAAAATTCGGAGTGTGGAAATTAGGAGAAGGTGTGGAGTTAATAAAAGTATTAGTCAGAGGGCAGAAGAGGGGTTGTTGAGGTGGTTTGGTCATTTAGAGAGAATGGATCAAAGTAGAATGACATGGAAAGCATATAAATCTATAGGGGAAGGAAGGCGGGGTAGGGGTCGTCCTCGAAAGGGTTGGAGGAGAGGGGGTGTAAGGAGGTTTTGTGGGTAAGGGGCTTGGACTTCCAGCAAGCGTGCATGAGCGTGTTAGATAGGAGTGAATGGAGACGAATGGTACTTGGGACCTGACGATCTGTTGGAGTGTGAGCAGGGTAATATTTAGTGAAGGGATTCAGGGAAACCGGTTATTTTCATATAGTCGGACTTGAGTCCTGGAAATGGGAAGTACAATGCATGCACTTTAAAGGAGGGGTTTGGGATATTGGCAGTTTGGAGGGATATGTTGTGTATCTTTATATGTGTATGCTTCTAGACTGTTGTATTCTGAGCACCTCTGCAAAATAGAAAAATTACAATTAATATATACAGTGATAATGTGCGAGTGTGGTGAAAGTGTTGAATGATGATGAAAGTATTTTTCTTTTTGGGGATTTTCTTTCTTTTTTGGGTCACCCTGCCTCGGTGGGAGACGGCCGACTTGTTGAAAAAAAAAAAAAAAAAAAAAATACGAAATCTGAACTATTGTATCTAAGCGTTTCTGCAAGAACAGTGATTGTGTGAATGATGGTGAATGTGTTGAATGATGGTGGAAGTGTTTCTTTTTTGGGTCACCCTGCCTCAGTGGGAGATGTCCGACGTGTTGAAGAAAAAAGTTAGGTAACAGTTTTCTTCGTATTTTTGGTAATCTGTACGGGAGAAGGGGTTAGCTGGACTCGAGTCCTGGAGGTGGGGAGGGATTTGGAATATTTCTGTTTAGAGGAACATCTAAACTGCCATATCTGTGCACCTCTGGTAAGACAGTGATAGTGTGAATGATGGTAAAAGTTTTTTTTTTCTTCTTTCTTTTTGGGTCACCCTACCTCACTGGGTGATGGCCAGTGTGTTAAAAAAAAAAATTGGGTAAAAAGACATGTGCAACTAACGCATTATATTATTGTGGCAACGTTAAAATGTCATTATTCATTTGATAGTCCCTGGTATATGAAACATCTTGGTAAAATGCCATAAACTTCATATTGTGTCTTATTAATGTAAAGGAAGACTGGGTAGTTCATTAGAGATTCGGCGGTACTTCCGGCCCGGGTCTTCTCCATATGGCGACCCGGCATTAATATAACTAAATCACTCTTCTGTAGTGCACTTATTTAATGAAAAGCCACACTAAATTTTGCTAGAAGTAAATAAAAAAAAAACCAAGTCGTTGCAAATTTGGCAGCTGAATGGCTAGTGGGAATGGGGAGAGGTTTACACTTGTCTAGTCTTTAGTGATTAACTCTTAAACAAGAGAAACTGGATACCAACTTCTGAAAAAAAATCTGATCTTGTGCCAATAACATTTTGCTATTTGTTCTTAGGGCTGTTAAATATCTGAACCAAGCACAGTTGGCTAGCAACAATATCTGAAATTGGACCTTGGGCTCTTTTGGCCATTCACTTGGCCCTGAGTCTGTTTCATTGTGATTCATTTGACCCTATGGTTATCACAGCAGGTTGCCTGGCCCTGAGGCTATCACAGTGACTCATTTGACCCTGTGGTTGTCACAACAGGTTGTTTGGCCCTGAGGCTGTCTCAGCCATTCAGTTTACCATAGAGCTGTTGCAACCATTCAGATGGGGTTGTTGTGGCTATTGATTTGGCCCTGGGGCATTTGCAGTCGTTCACTCAGACCTGCTAAATCCGTTGTGTATACTGTATTTTAATACGTTTTTTTTTACTTTGAGCTGAGAGCAATGCTTAAAAAATTCATTTGACCATCTTTCCTTTAAATAAACTGTCATTAAGGGCATAAATGTTGGTCCTGTATGTAATAAAAAAATTATCTTTGCAAAATATAGCAACAATGCATTTGTAACCACACTCGTGGTCTGTTAACGTGATTAAACAGAAAATGCAAACTGATTGGCGGTAAACTGTCCTTATGAGAAAATATTTCAAGTGGGAGTGCAGCAGGATTGGTGCTTGCTTCAGTAATATTCCTAACTTTATATATTAATTGCCACAAGGAATAAATGTATATGAGCAAGATAAGCCCTAAAATTGCCTGTGTGAACTGCATGAATATATATTGAATAAGTGGAGTGGTAGATGGGTAATTAAATTTAATGTTCCAAAAAGCCATATAATATTAATAGGAGAAAGCAGAAGCGGCCCACACCAGTATAAATTACATGATAAAAATATACAAGTCTTCACAGTAAGGTACAGTACATAGGAGTTGTTATTGACTTACAGTATGTTAGTGAAATTGTGAGGAAAAAATTATGGAACATTGACCAGCCTTAAAACAAGCTTAGGATTGCAAAATGCTTAAAGCACAGTTGTGGGCTAGAAAGTATTGAAAGCTGAGTGACAAAGTACCTCCTCTCGGAGTTAAGAAAGACTGAAAGTCTGTTATTTTTCTTATTGGCTGATACCAGGAAAGTGAGATATAACCACATCAGATGTTATGAAAATGTGAAAGAATTGATAAGGAAGACTTCTTAATAACATTAGATATCAAAGGTTATAACTTAGCTAATGAAGAGATTCTTAAAAATACTAGAAAGTTTTTTTTTATACAGTGGTATGAGATTGAAATACAGCACTGTAGGTTACAAGAGAAAGCACAAAGTTCTATAATTACTGAAAATAAAAATAAAAATATAGATTAACTACTGATAATAGAACACAGTTTAACCTTGCTCCTCTATCTACCAATAGATAATTACCTGTTTCAAACAAAGGAAGGCAGAGCCTACAAATATAGGCTAGCAAGGCTTATTCAACTTTTGCTAGGCTGAATCACATATTAGCTGGTTGAATTTGTTCCCTAATTTTATGAGTGAGTGCATTATGTACAGGAGGGCCCCCGCTTTACAGCGCTTTACTTTGCGGCATTTTGCTAATATAGAGGCTTTCAGTTATACCCACTCTTCATTTATTCAGACTTCCTACAATAAATATATTCACTCACTATAAGCTAAGGACAAAAATATTTTAAGGTATGTAATGTGTGTACTGTGCATTTTTTTAGGCCTACCTATATTGGTCAGTTAATATATGATAATGTAAACATGTTATTAGACTTTTATATACATGTACATTTGAAAGTGAAAAAAGCTATGATGCACTTTACAGCAATTTTTGCTTAACTGCAGTGGCCCACAACCTAACCTGCTGTATAGGCAGGGCCCTCTTGTACTGCAAATTGAACCTTAGTAGAGTGGGAACTAAAGCTGATTACAGATTATGGAAAGCCTTCAGTAAAACAATTGAATCCCTGCAGGAAATTTTGAATATTGGTAAATATATTTCAGATGTTAATATTGAAATTTATGAGAAAACAGAAACCCCTCATAAAAATGAATCTGAAGTCTGGCAAATCCATTGAGCTTGTTTTGAAAAAGAAATATTCTTGTGTAGAAATTATATCAAATAAGTTCCAAGAGACTAACACATTTACATAGCCTCTAACACACTGCCATATTAGTGTGGCTATCTCCCACTTAAAAAATGGGAGACCTTATGAGCAAATTTTATTTGTTGTATCCTGGTTTCTAGTCCAATGTTTGGATGATTTGGGGTTTAGTGTACTACAGTACTGTACTGTATATACTGATACATTATTGAATTGCATCTTATTTCTTTGCATGCCTTAGCTGACTCTTGATAATTACAAGACTTGTTTGGATGGCTTGTTCAATAATGGCAATATTATTGAAGAAATGGTAAGACAAGAGAACACCGCTGTCCATGAGTTTATTAGACTAACTAGCCAGTCATTTGAACCCACTTAAGTGTTGAATGCTTTCGTGATAAATTTCTCTAGTCTTTCATTTAGAGTAATTCTTTATGCTCTTACCAGGTAAGTAATAATTGCTAAAGAATTAAATGCACCACTTCAGTTATTGAATTATTCCTTAATATTAATGTCTAAACTGAATTTTATTTTAATTACATATTCATATTCAGCAATTGTATAATCCTCTTTATCCTGAATGTTGATTTCTTTGTAGAATTCAGCTTCATTTCTGTCATGGCCATTCATCTCGGGAAAATTTCCCGGGTAAATGAAGTGTCTAGGCATATAAATTCGAGACCTAATCCATTCATTACCTTTCCTGTCCCATACATCTTTCTATGCTTCTTTGAGTAGATTGGATTTTTGGTGTCTTAGGATAGTTGTGTGAATTTTGCCATTAAATTTGTGTATGCAGTGGCATTGATAACAATGTATATTTTTCTTATGTAGACAGACCCCTGGGGAATGGCTCTCCCAAATGGTGGCTCAGAAACTCCTAAACAGGTACTGTGTGAGAACACTAGCTGTTACTTGAACAGATGATAAACCACATAGTAATATCGTGAATTAGAAACATGTTCAGCACCTGGGCATCTTTATTCTGAGGACATTTGAACTGTAGTATCAGCATGCCTCTGGCAAAACAGTAATGGAGTGAGTGATGGTGAAAGTTTTTCTTCTTTTTTAGGTCACCCTACCTCAGTGGGAAACAGCTGATGTGGCTTTTTATGTAATTAAATTGTATTGAATTGGAAAAGGACCAGGATTTTAAGCATCTTCAAAATAGATACCCAGGTATTACACATGTCTAATTCATCAACTTCTTGTTGAATACTGTTGCTGTAATAATACACATAGTGATATGCTAGCTTAAATTGATTAAGCAAATACATATTGAACTCAAGATTCAGACTTGCTTTTCGATTATTATAATTTTGATATGCATTGCTGCACATTTAACAAAGTGAAGAAAATTTGGTTTTAATCTGATTCAGTCATTCACATTTAGAGAGCTTTACAAGATATTCATATTTGCAAATTTAGGCAATTTAAAACATTGCATTTTATTTATTTATAACTTAAAACTTGATCAGAAGCCAGGAAAGTGTGTTTATCACATTGAAGAATGAGTACTGTATATTCTTGGCCTTAAGTCAGTCTTTGTGTCCTTCACTGAACCCCTCAGTTCACCCTCTGGTTTCATCCCTTCTGACATGTCCCTTTCCCTCAGGGTTGCCCCTTTTTCCCTTGGGATCATCCACTTTCCTCCTAAGGGGTCCTCACCCCACTTTCCTCCTCTTTCCTTCTTGGGGATTTGCTTTCATTCAGCCCTCTTTCTCCTAAAAAAAGGGTGGGGGGCCAAGTTGTTACATCTAAGATATACACTATATACTTGGAATCTAACTGGAGGTTGTTCCGGCAGTCACTGTCCCTGCAACTTAATCCTCGACCAGGCCTCCTGGTGAATCAGGGCCTGATCAGCCAGGTTGTTGCTGCTGGCCGCACACAATCCAACGTACGAACCGCAGCCCCACCGTACAGGCACTGACTTTAGGTATCTGTCCAGTTCCCTCTTGTAGATAGCCAGGGGTCTGTTGGTAATTCCCCTTATGTATGATGGGAGGCCATTGAACAGTCTTGAGCCCTGGACACTTACTATGTTTTCTCTGTGCACTTGTGGCACCTTTGCTTTTCATTGGAGGTATATTGCACTGTCTGCTAAGCCTTGTTTTCATAGGGAGTGATTTGTGTGTGCAGATTTGGGATCAGTTCCTCAACAATTTTCCAGGTATAGATTATGATGCATCTTTTTTGCCTGGGTTGCAGGAAGTACAGGCAAGGGACTTCAAATGCTCCCAGTAATTAGTGTGCTTGATTGAAATAATAAATGCAGTGAAGGTTCTCTGTATATTCTATAGGTTTGCAATTTCACCTGCCTTGCATGGGACTGTTTATTAATAGCAGTATTCCAGCCTAGAGAGAACAAGTGACTTAAAGCAGATAATTGGCATGGCATCCCTTGTTTTGAAAGTTCTCATTATGCATCCTATCATTTTCCTTGCATATGTGATAGTGACACTGTTATGATCCTTGAAGGTGAGATCCTCTGACATTAACATTCCCAAGTCCTTCACATACAACCTCAGTTTTTAATAAGTCTATTGTGTTAGTGCGTGTTATATACTCTGTTCTAGCTATAATTTCCTTAAATTTTCCGTAAGAGAATGACTGAAATTTGTCCTCATTAATCATCATAGGATATTTACTGTGTACTCAATGGATGACACACTTGTGCACATTCTAATGTTATGGATTACATCTTTATCTGATATAAGGATGAGGAAAAGATTAGGTGCAAGTACTGTACCTAGTGGAGCATTTTTTTTTTTATATAGTAAATCAATAGTTAGGACTTAAACCCATGGCATGCGAGTCCTGAAACTTGCTGGCCAGTATGCTATCCAGTGGATAGGACAATGGAATACAGTACAATAAAGCATGTAGGAATACAACAGGTACTGTATACACCAGGAATTTGATTATACAGTAATCTCTGGTCTTAACTGTGCTTATGTTTTTGTTTTATCCAAGCTCGTTCTTATTTAAAGTTTGCCACAAAACTGTTTTATAGAAGACTCTCCCTGTGTTGTTTCCAGATTGTGTCAAGCAACGAGACACTTGCTAAGTCACCATATGGCACCTAGTTAGTTGCTATCTATAACCCCTCTTAGTAGTCTTTATTACACATCCTGTACATGTGCAGTTTAACTTAAAAAAAGAATCAGAAAAATTGTTTGGCAACGTGATTTAACTTTAATTTTTCTGCAGCAGATTAACACCTTAACTGTATCATATTCTGAAATTAAATTTACTGTGTGGCAAGATTTTGAAAAAAAAAATTACTTACAGATTGAAAGAGTGCATTTTTATAAATCAAATGAGTAGAATCTGATAAAAACTTGCAATTTTAAGGTGTCAAAGTTGGCAAGAACATTATCACTTGTCGGTAACAGCAGCATAAAAGTGCCAGTTTTATTTACATTATGCAACTTGATGCCAAATTATGATTGATTTTTAGTTTATTGTTTGTAATATTTAACACTGTGTACACAAGTTTATGATGTGTGTTTCAGGGTGTATTTTAATATTTTAGACATGGGGAAATGCTTAGCCTAACATTGCTACACCTGGAATATGCAGTATAAATCTGTGCAATGTGGCCGGTGTGTTGAATGAATGATTTTTTCTGTTTTTTAATGCTTTGGTCTTCTAACATTGTGTACAAAAAATATTTGCATTACAATTGTTTTAAGGTGTAATACTTCTCAAAGCATGAAAATAATTATTGTCACATTGTTTGACAGTTGGGAATGAATAAGTCATCTTCCTGTCAGCTTCACACCCTGTTGTTTGCTGGCAGGGAAGCTGCTGGTGGAACAACAGCTCCTGGTTTCATTGCTTATGCTAGTTAGGCAGTGTTACCCTTGATGCATTACAGGAGACCCAAACAGTTGCACTGAGGTCAGAAATATTGGTAGGTGGCATTTTTGCAGCCACAAAAAGTTGTGCATACTAATACATACATCAGATATATGCTGGGTAGTTCTCGCCTGCATACTAGTATGTTGGACACTTTGAATTGGTTAAAATAAGTTCAGGTTGGCCATCATTAATGCAGCATGATTAGGACCTGTAGGGTGCCTGATTAGTGATTTTGGCGGATTACAGAGTGGTTAGGTTAGAATACACTTAACCCATTGGCTATATTTACACATCAACAATTTTACCCACTTTATGCCCTATTTTTGGCCCATTCCATTGTTTCAGTCTACCAAACTCATAGCTATTTTGCTAGTATTCCTTCTATTCTGTTGATTGAGTACAAGAAACCACCCATTTCCCTATTTCAACCACCCAATAAAGTGGTCAGAAATTGGTAATTTGGCAATTCCACACAAACTTCAAGAGATGCTAATTTCAAAATAGGGTCCAGAATAAACACTGCAGACATTACTGGCATTAAAATAACATTTTCTCTTTGTTAGTCATGCCTCCAGGCCCTTCTTATATTACACTTGCTCTCCATTTTGAATTTTTATTCACACAGAAAAATAAGAGATTTATTGTTATGCAGACTACTGCATTATTGTAATACAGTATAATTGTATAATGTCAACCTATTTGTGACCACATAGTAGACCGGCCAGTTGGATATGTATTGGATGGTGACACCATTTGTTTACTCTTGAACATCGGGAAAAATCGAACATTTCCACTATGAGCTCAGTTTCAAGGTACTTTCCGTTGTGAGACCAATCAGAATGACTTCTCTTTCTGTAATGTATCTTCCATTTTATTAAATGAGACCAAAAAACGAGAATACAGTGGACCCCCGCATAACGATCACCTCCCAATGCGACCAATTATGTAAGTGTATTTATGTAAATGCGTTTGTACGTGCATGTTTGAGGGTCTGAAATGGACTAATCTACTTCACAATATTCCTTATGGGAACAAATTCGGTCAGTACTGGCACCTGAACACACTTCTGGAATGAAAAAATATCGTTAACCGGGGGTCCACTGTACAACCATAAAAACCATACGAAAATACACCACAAAGTCGCTGTTGTACACCAAAAACACGGTCATTTTTTCCTCATTATGCACTGCGTACTGCAGGATTTTTTTTATATAGCGCACATTTACCACACAGACCTATTCTCTCATATGTAGGCTCAAATTTACCAGTCACAGCTTATGTGAGTGAGTTGAGCTCATGGTGACTGACAGTGGCTTCAAATACACCTGTGTATGTGCCTTACACAACATTGGAACCATGACTAAGGACAAAAGTAAGCAGGTAATAACAATAAATGGAGAAAAAGAAATTAGAATGACTTATTCAGCAAGTAGTGCCACCAAGCAGTAGCGGCAGGTTGGTGTGACGACCCTGGAAATTTAAAGTAATGCTAGCCAAAATTAGTGCCAGATTACTGATTGCCGGATTAGTGATGGCTGACCTGTAATCACAGAGACTAACATTATGTATGTATGTTCATCAGGTTTCAGATACCATTTCATTGTTCTTATCCAGTTCCTACAATGCCAGTACTTATGGTCCTTTACAGTAGGACCCCTGTATCTGCAGATCCAGTTTTTGCAGTTTACCGTAACCCAGAAATGTCACAGTTCTCAACTTATTGTGCATAATTTATTAAATTTTATCGTAGATATGAATGTAAGTGAAAAAGACATATAGGGTTCACTATTATCCACAGTTTTGGGTATCTGCAGTAGGTCTTGGAACATATTACCCTGTGGTTACGAGGGTTCTACTGTATGTGCTATCTGCTTTCTTACAACTCAGTTCAATGAAAATATTGGTGGATTTCAGTGATTATGGGTTTGCTTGAATTTTCCCTCCCCATTCCCTCAAAAAAAAAAAAAATGCAGACTTGGCTATGTATATTTGTCTAGGTAAAAACCAGATAATTTTTGACAATGTGCAATACTGTATACCTCTACTTATAGTGTCGACTTATGGCCAAGATAAAAAAAAAAAAATTCAAACTGTACATAATTGTTGAAAAATTGAGCAATATTTATGTCCTACATTTTGTAAAGCCCCTGGTTATGCATGGATTTCAACCAGACTAAAACTCTATTTTAAATATACTTAGCAATGTATAGTTGAAGTTTTGATCATTTATCTGCTAGGTTTAATATAATTAACTTGTCTGAAGATCTTATTGTTAAATGTAATACATATTTAGTAATATGTCGCAGAATTTCAGTACTCTTGAAATTTTCTATTAAGTTATTTGTTAGGTATGATTCTTTTTCTAAAGTTAGTCTACCATTGGTAAATGTTTTCTCTTGGTTCTACTTTCACCTTCCTAGTATTTCTTGCTCTTTTTTATATTTACCATTCTTCCTGCTATTTTTCTTGTATGTATGTATTTTCCAGAGCTAACTGCCATTATGACTAATGATAGTTAAGAATAGTCAACTCCGATATATTTTGCAGGATATATTTATTAGTTTTGTTCCAGTATTACTTAACATCAACTGCACTCTAGTATTACTTAATACATGTACTCTAGTGTACAGTATCAAATACAGAATTCGGTTAAAATTAACAAGGATGGTAGTATATAGTACTTTTAACTTGACATTTGCTTCATCTCAAATATACCTAGTCTGTTGGGGTATCCTAACCTGTACAGTGGACCCCTGGTTTTCGGCTGGTGCGAAAATCGTACAGTTCGGATTTCGAGCACTTTTTTTCGGCGAAATTTCCCCCCCGGGTTTCGTACATCCGCTCGGAAATCGTTGGTACCAGACGCATGCGCCTGGGCCGCTCATACTTTCGTGAGTCACTCTTGGGCACATTAAATGTCGTATTTAGGTTAATGACATTTTCATTAATCCATCTGATATTTTCTTCAAAATTGTAAAAGAAACACGTTACATAGCATATAAACATGCAATGTTTATATGTTATCAAGGGGTCAGTGGAGGGTAAACATTACGTTTTCTCTAGTCCAGCTTCAGAGAAAACGTGTATGAATCTGCATTGGCCCAGTAACCACCCTTAGTACATAAGTCTTTTGTTTACAGTTCTCAGCATGAATTATTCATTAATTCTCCCCTTGTTTATGATGGCATCTAAAGGTAGCTGTTAGAAACAATTAAACTCGGCGAACGTGGTATGTCAATGGTGGTATTATGGCTGTAGGTCACAGCGTATGTAGCTGGTAGGTATACACCTGGGATGTAGTCTGCCTGGGACTACAAATAAATACTACTTGCCAACAAGTTTTCAATAAAGGTGGGAGATGGCCGACTTGTTGGAAAAAAAAAAAAAAAAAATTCATTTATCATTAAAATTAGTCATTTATATTTACGTATATCTCGCTGTTTTCTGTATGTTCAACTATAGTTATTCTCTATAAAATATTTTTTTTGTTGATATTTTTGGGTGTCTGACACAAATTAATTGGATTTACATTATTTCTTATGGGAAATATTTCTTCGGTTTTCAGCCATTTCAGATTTCAGCCAACCTTCTGGAATGGATTAATTACAAAAACTGGGGGTCTACTGTATTAATATTATTTCTTTATTTTTATATTTGAGCTGTATGCTTAACATTTGGCAATGGTTTTCGTAACGGAATAGGATGGTGATAAAATGGTAACTGATACTGAGTTTATGTACATGGCACACTTAGTAGTTTCATTATTTTTTGGATTTTAGGAACATTTTTCAAATTTTTTTCATTTGCATGAGATGCATTACAAAACAATTAACTCTTGGCCTTTGTGAAAGTGGTAAATAGAATTACCAGTCCTGTACATGGTGCCTTTCTTAGACATTGTGAAACCCGTAATAGATTAGAGCTTCCCCCTCATTAGAAAATCTACACTTTTCAATCATTTCAGAAGATCTACCAGCAACTAATAATTTTTTCCTCTCCAGAATTTTTTTATTTTGTACATAATGTATATTTGATCATATTTTCATCTCCACAGCCTGATCCATGGGGTTCTCCAGCATCGGGTCCTCCGTCACGTGTCACATCTCCGCCAACTACAAGTGATCCCTGGGGTCCTCCACCAGCCAGATCACCTGAACCACCAATGGGAGGTGAGGTCTTATTTGCTTAAAATATCTCTGCTGGTGGGTCTTGGTGGGGATGACAAAGATAGGTAGGTTAGTGCATATTCTCATACAGTGCTTGTATTTTCCTAATTAAAGAAACAAAACAAATATGCAAGACGCCAGATACAAATTTTCATTCATACTGTGTTAATTTCAGTGGTACTATAGATAAAAACTAAAAAAATAAGGATGAATGGCTTGCAATTATAAATGCATACAATCTAGCATTTAATAATACATGGGAAAGAAAGACTCTGACAAGTTAAATAAAGGAATGAATAATTTTCTGAAGGGATTAGTTATCAAGTCTAAAATAATTTTAATAGGAAATTTTATTAAATAAAACTGGATGGTCTGTAAGACTGGAATGCTTAATAAATAATCAGTAACGTATTTTTTAACCCTTTCACTGTCGGTCCCATGATATTACAGCTTTGAATCCATTCTCTGTCCTTAATACTATGCCAAAATTCAAGCAGCTTCCAGTCTTGTGGGAGATAGCTGGTAAGCCTACATGTGAGAGAATGGGTCTACCTGGAGTCTACGTAGGGCACTCCAGGGATCAATGCCCCCGCGGCCCGGTCCATGACCAGGCCTCCCGGTGGATCAGGACCTGATCAACGAGGCTGTTACTGCTGAGTGGTCAGTGTGTATGCAGTATAAAAGAAATCCTTCATGCACAGTGCACAAGAAAAACTGCCACCATGTTTTTGGTTTGAAACAGCAACTTTGCAGTGTATTTTCATATGGTATTTATGGTTATATTCTCATTTTCTTGGTCTCATTTGATAGAATGGGAGATATATTACAGAAATAAGAGATGATTTTGAATGGTATACAGAGCAAAAGTAGCTTGAAAAGGAGCTGAAAATAGTGGAAATGTTAGATTTTTGACCATGTTCAAGAGTAAGCAAATCAAGTCACACATCCAGTACACGTCAACGGTGGGTCTGATATGCTTTCACTAATGCATTGATATTATTTATATAATATGTGAAATAATGCAGTAATCTGCATAACAGTAAATCTTCTATTTTTTGTGTGAATAAAAATTCAAAATGGAAAGCAAGCGTAATATAAGAAGGGGCCTGGAGACATTACTAATGAACAGAGAAACCATTATTTTAGTGCTAGGAATGTTTGCATTGTTTATTCTGCACCCTGTTTTGAAATTGGCCTTTCTTCAGTTTTGTATGAAATTGGCCAAATTGCCAATTTCTGATAACTTTATTGGGCAGTTGAAATAAGTAAACAGGCGGTTTCTTGTACTCAGTCAATAGAACAAAAGGAGCGCTGGCAAAATAGCTATGAATATAGTCGACTGGAACAATTGAATTTGCCCAAAATAGGGCTGAAAGTAGGAAAAATCACCAATGCATAAATATTGCCAAGACCGCTAACTTCATGAGAGCGTAATTCTGTAAGTTTTTCATCAAATTTCGCACTTCTGGTTTTATTACCATCAGGAAGAGATACTCTATCATTTCAATAGATTTTTTTTTTTTTCAAACACCGAGAGCAAGTTTGCGAGCAGGGGTCTTGACAGTGAAAAGGGTTAATATAGTAATTAATTTTTTCCATCACAGTAAAGAATTGACTCGACCAGTTTTGGCCTCAAAAGTTTTATGAAAGATTAATGAGTGTGTGTAGAGAAAACACAAAACTCATATCCTTGTTGAAAAGGAAATCGTATGAAGAGAGCTTTCTTATATGTTCTCGCTCAGAAAACAGATGAGGTGACCTCATATAAACCTTAAGAGGATAAGCAAAGTGAAATTTTCAGCCTCTCAAGGAAAGAAAATACAACTTTATTTTTAAGAAGATAAAATTGTATAACAGAATAACATAGTTTGTGCCATGCATGGAGAAGCTTATACAGTAGGGCCCCACTTATACAACAAGTTAGGTTCCAGGCTATCTCTGTAAAGTGGAACACCCTTTTTTCCACTTGTAAATGCATAGAAATACTAGATAACAAGTTTACACTAACATAAGTTAGCAATAGAACTTGGCATTAAAAAACAATAAAGTAATATTCACATATACAGTGGACCCCCGGGTTAAGACATCATCGGAATAAGTAATATTCGGAATAAGTGTGCCATTGTTTACCAGCCAGTGAGGACGATCCAATGCGTTCATACGATACATTTGTATTATTCCATTTTTTTAGTGCTTGTAACTGCTAAATAAACCACCATGGGCCCAAAGAAAGTTTCTAGTGCCAACCCTTTGGTAAAGGGCTGAGAGAGATTCTGCAATATGTACGATACTAAAGCAGCAGGAGTCTATAAAGACTATAGCACCAGTCAGCGCTAAAGTGTAGCATTAACAGTGTAGCAAGTAAGTTAAGCGATTAATCGATAGAAAAAGGACAGCACAAAACTGACTCCTCCATTATTGTTGGAGGTATATAGGGCTACTGACTAACACTGCCTCCTCTGCTGCCACCTTCATTACCACTATGTAAGGCTTAACTTTCAGTGGCCCTTATACACCCAACAACAAACAACACACCACCACTCATGACATACTTAATGCCATATTTTATTCATTCTACAGTATATATCATATTTCTGTGTTATTGTTTATTATGTCATATTAGACGAATTGTGCTAGATAAATAACCCGTAGAGCTGAAATTAGGGTCACAGTGAAGAACTATCTTGTCCTGCTTCCCAGCACAATTCCTAACATACGCCAGAAACGGACCTCTCTAGAACACTTCTTTGAGCGACAGGGGTCCAGTGACTCTTAAGCTGGCCCTAGTGGCATTAAAAGAGAGGGAAGTAACCCAGAATAAGGACTTGGTACCTGAAGTCTTTATGGAAGGGCATTCCCTTTCCAAATAATTGTAAACTCCATCCTCTCCCCTCCTCCCGTCTTCCATACATCACCTTGTCTTCAATAAAGGTAAATGTGATGATGTTACTGTTTTATTCTTCATGTATCATTGTTTTCTGTGTAGATAAATGTACATTTCATGTAGAAAATATTTCTTTAATACTTTTGGGTGTCTGTAACAGATTAACCCTTAAATGGTCCAAACGTATATATACGTTTTTTCAACATCTGAAAGTATGTAAAAAAATGTAGATCTTTTTTGTTTTACATTTGAAAACGTGTAATAAAAACTTTTATCTACATTTTTTTTTTGTTATATTTGAAAATATGTAAAAAAAGTAGATCTACTTTTGTTATTTTATTTTATTATCACACTGGCCGATTCCCACCAAGGCAGGGTGGCCCGAAAAAGAAAAACTGTCACCATCATTCACTCCATCACTGTCTTGCCAGAAGGGTGCTTTACACTACAGTTTTTAAACTGCAACATTAACACCCCTCCTTCAGAGTGCAGGCACTGTACTTCCCATCTCCAGGACTCAAGTCCGGCCTGCCGGTTTCCCTGAATCCCTTCATAAATGTTACTTTGCTCACACTCCAACAGCACGTCAAGTATTAAAAACCATTCGTCTCCATTCACTCCTATCAAACACGCTCACACATGCCTGCTGGAAGTCCAAGCCCCTCGCACACAAAACCTCCTTTACCCCCTCCCTCCAACCTTTCCTAGGCCGACCCCTACCCCGCCTTCCTTCCACTACAGATTGATACACTCTGGTTTTAGATTACTACTAACCACAACTCCTAAATCCTTTTCGCAATCCGTAATATTAAGATCTACATTATTTAGTTTATTTGTGGCATGGTTATTTTCCTGTCCAACATTCAGAACTTTGCATTTGTCTATATTAAACTGCATCTGCCACTTCTCTGACCACTGCATCAGTCTATTCAAATCATCCTGGAGTGCTCTAATGTCCTCATTAGAATGAATTGGATGGCCTATTTTGGTGTCATCAGCAAATTTGCTCATGTCGCTATTTATTCCCTCGTCTATGTCGTTTATGTAGATTGTGAACAACAAGGGGCCCAACACTGACCCCTGTGGAACACTGCTTGTGACATGCCCCCATTCTAATTTCTCCCCATTTATGCAAACTCTCTGCTGCCTATTCGTCAACCATGCCTCAACCTAGGAAAAAATTTCTCCTATTCCATGTGCCTTAAGTTTCCTCAATAGCCTCTGATGTGGAACTCTATCGAAAGCCTTACTGAAGTCCATATACACAATATCGTATTCAGTACCATGATCTACCTCAAATACCTTAGTGAAGACAGTAAATTCGTAAGACAGGAACACCCCTTTGTAAAACCGTGCTGAGATTCATTAATCAATTTATGCCTTTTGAGATGGCTATGAATTGCTTCGGCAATTATTTATTCCACAAATTTTCCCACTATGGAGGTAAGGCTTATTGGTCTATAGTTCGAAGCTAAGGACCTATCACCTGCCTTGTAAATAGGTATTACATTTGTCATTTTCCACTTATCAGGCACTATGCCAGTTTGTAGTGATATGTTGAAAAGATTAGCCAAAGGTATGCTAAGTTCCTCTTTACATTCCTTTAACACCCTTGCAAACAGTTCATCAGGGCCTGGGGATTTGTTAGCTTTTAATTTCTCTATTTGTCTGAGGACCATGTCACCTGTTACTGCAGCCGTGCATAGTTTATTATCATCCTGTTCTACATAATATATTGTTTCTGGAATTATGCTAGTATCTTCCTGAGTAAAAACTGAGAGGAAGTAAGAATTGAAAATTTCACACATATCCTTATCACTGTCAGTGATCTGACCTGAGTTACTCTTGAGTGGGCCTATCTTGTCCCTAATCTTCTGTATACAGTGGACCCCCGGTTAACGATATTTTTTCATTCCAGAAGTATGTTCAGGTGCCAGTACTGACCGAATTTGTTCCCATAAGGCATATTGTGAAGTAGATTAGTCCATTTCAGACCCTCAAACATACACGTACAAACGCACTTACATAAATACACTTACATAATTGGTCGCATTGGGAGGTGATCGTTATGCAGGGGTCCACTGTACCTGAAAGAACCCTTTTGGGTTAATCTTTGAATCCCTTGCAACCTTAGCCTCATAATCCCTTTTTGCTTTTCTTATTCCTTTTTTTTTTATTTCTCTCTTTAATTGAATATATTGATTCTTAACTGCCCCTCCCCTCTTTTGATACATCTCTATATGCCTCTCTTTTGACCAATGAGATGTTTTAATCTATTGTTCATCCACTTAGGATCATTTTTGTTAGATCTAATTTCCCTACTCGGAACAAAAGTTGTCTGGGCAGCTAGAACTATGCTCTGAAAAATGTCATATTGGCAACCAAGACCACCTACCTGACCCATGGTCAGGACATCCCAATTTAGCCCACCCAGGTAATTTTTCAGTCCCTTGAAATCAGTCAAGCAAAAGTCTGAGACAGAGATTTGATTGCAGATTGGAACTGGCTGTGAATTGCTCAGTAAGTACTGTGGTGTCTACTGAGTGACCACCATCATATTAACATTTGTTCTACAAGCACTCAAGAGGCACTGTTAACCATGGTCCACCTAGAGCACAGTGGTGTTGCATAAACAATAGCAGAAGTAGTACAGTGCTGTTGCAGTAGTGGTAGTTTAGTCCATGTTTTCCATCTACTTGTACCGTTATTATCAAATGTCTGTGTTCATTTTCAGGTATTTGTGGTAATGATCCTTGGGCAGTCTTAGGTGTTATACCTCCTGCTGCTAAGACCACCACGCCACCTGCTGGCACTAATGACCCATGGGATCCGGTCCCTGCGAAGCCCCAAACTAAAGATCCGTTTGCACCCATTTCACCAACAAACAATGGCGACATGGATGAGTTTTCAGCTTTGTCAATAAGGGATAAACCAACTAATAGTAAGAACTGTTTTATTTAAAATTTCAGTATATGAATTTATTATTGGAGTTTTATTTAGAAACTATTAAAATATAAATTTATAAAGGTATATCAGTACTTTTCATAATGTTCTCATTCCACTTAAACATTATCTTTTAAAACAGTAATAAATAATCAGTATAGTTTTTCCACTTCCTCCTGTGTGTGTAGTTATTTTTAAATAGTTACAGCTGAGAGATAAAATGGAAAGAAAACCAGAAGATAGGTTAGAAAGAGGGAGGGAAAGATAAAGACAGGTCAGAGTTCAAAAACACCATAAAACAGACCGAGAGTAACAGTAGTATTCAGCAGTGAGAAAACATATTAAATCAACAGGCTTCAGTAGCTGGGTATCTCCACATTATAAGTATGTTTGCTTAAGGGCATTAGAAAGGCTAAACGTGACTATGAAATTAGAGTTGCTAATGAATCAAAGACTAATCCAAAGGGGTTCTTTCAAATGTATAGGACGAAGGTGAAGGAAAAAATAGGACCTCTGAAAATTGGGAATGGAAGCTGACGGATAACGAACTAGAAATGTGTTCCTTATTTAATTACTATTTTTTGTCAGTTTTTACACAGGAAGATGTAATTGAGATTCCCGTAATTAACAGTTATTTAGTTCATGATGAATTTAAATTAACTAATACAGTGGTCCCTCGTTTTTCGTAGTTAATCCGTTCCTGGAATTGCTACTATTATCGAAATCTTCGATTTGCGAATCAATTATCCCCATAAGAAATAATGTAAATACAATTTAATCCGTTCCTGACACCCAGAAATATTAAAACAAAAATTTTTTTTACATGAAATATAGATGTAGTACATAAACAATACAATGGGAAATGATGAATGAAACATTAACAGCATAACACTTACCTTTATTGGAGATTCTTCTTAGTGTATGGGAGACTGGAGGAGGAGAGAGATTGGATTATTTACAGTTTGGAAGGGGAATCCCCTTCCAGCAACACCTCAGGTACCAATTGCTTTTCTGGGGTTACTTCTCTTCTCTGTTTCTTAATGCCACTAGGACCACCTTGAGAGTCACTGGAGTCCTGTCTCGCAAAATAACTGTGGAGAGAGCTCTGTTTCTGGGGTCTCTTTAACACTTCCCTAAGATGGCCCAAGACTTTGTCACTACATGTTGCCAACATGGCTTGCAACAACCTTGTCAGGGTGATGTTTCTCCATAAAGTTTTCCATCTTACCCCACATAGCAAAAATCTCTTTAATTTCTGAAGACGGCACCTTCTTCCATCTCTCTTCCTCCTCTGCAACAAGATTCTGAGCTGCGTTCTGTTGCTGTTCCTGCTGAAGCTCTTGCAGCTCCTCAGTGGTGAGCTCTTCATTGTGGTCTTCCACCAACTCTTCCACATCCTCCAAACTCACATCCAACCCTATGGAACTCCCCAGTGCCACAATTAATTTGACAACAGACATAGGCTCATCAGGGTCAGTCCCAAGCCCTTCAAAATCCCTCTTGTCGACACAATCTGGCCACACTTTTCTCCAAGCAGAGATCAAAGTCCTGGTAGTCACTCCCTCCCAAGCCATACCTATAAGGGTTATGCAATGGGGGATGCTGAAGTGTTCTCTCCAAAATTCCCTTAGGGTCAAGTGAGTGTCTGTGGTCACAGTCAAGCACAATTCAGTAATGTTTTTCTTAAATTCAGTCGTATTTCTCACCTTCTTTACCACAGGCTTGGCACTAGGAGCTTTCTTTGGAGCCATGGTAGCTTATTTAGTACTTGCAAGCACTAAAATGAGTGAAATATTATGAAATATTTCATAGGAGCATGTGAGGGGACCTTCACTCACTGGTAAACAATGCCAGACTGGCTGGGTAGGGAGGCCGCCCCGACTCACACCGTGCGTACGCATCCCGGACGAACTACTATTCGCGAGTCAACCTATGATTAGTGAGCCCATGTTTATACGAAAATATCCCTATGATTTTCGAAATCTATGATTCCCGAGAACTACGAAAAGCGAGGGACCAATGTATTACTGTCACGAGGGACATGGTTATTAAACAGATAGACAAACTGAAGCAAAATAAGTCCCCGGGACCCGATGAGATGTTTTCCAGGGTACTTAAGGAATGCAAGACGGAGCTTAGTCGGCCATTAACGAGTGTGTTTAATGCGTCCATCCTTACTGGTGTTGTGCCAGAGTTGTGGAAGATGGCTAATGTGGTTCCTATATTCAAATCAGGGGATAAGTCCGTTCCTTCAAATTACCGTCCAATAAGCCTGACATCTATAGTGGGTAAGTTATTAGAATCAATTATAGCTGACATTATTAGAAGTCACCTTGAAGAGCATAACTTGATAAATGAATCTCAGCATGGATTCACGAGAGGTCGTTCCTGCCTGACAAATTTACTGACGTTCTTCAATAGAACATTTGAGGCAGTTGACTGATAAAGAATATGATATTGTTTATTTGGATTTTAGTAAAGCCTTCGATAGAGTACCTCACAAGAGACTCTTAAGAAAAGTGGCAGCTCATGGTATAGGAGGTAAAGTTCTAGTATGGATAGAGGCATGGCTTACCCATAGAAAGCAGAGAGGTACCATTAATGGGGTGAAATCTGAATGGGGATTAGTCACTAGTGGCATTCCACAAGGATCAGTTTTAGGCCCTCTCTTGTTCATAATTTACATTAATGACCTTGATGAAGGGATTATGAGTGACATGAGTAAATTTGCTGATGATACAAAGATAGGCTGTATAATTCATTCTGAGGAGGATAGCAATGAACTCCAGGAGGATTTGGACAAATTAATGTCTTGGTCTACAAAATGGCAGATGAAATGGTAATGAAAATAACCCTCGAAGCTATAATCTAAGTGAAGTAGTGCTTGATCATACAGAATGTGAAGAAGACTTGGGAGTCATGGTAAGGAGAAACCTAAAGCCAAGACAGCAGTGCCTTAGTGTGTGCAACAAGGCTAACAGTTTACTTGGATTTATCTCAAGAAGTATAAGTAACAGAAGTCCAAAAGTTATTTTACAGCTCTATACATCACTAGTGAGGCCTCATTTAGATTATGCTGCTCAGTTTTGGTCCCCTTACTACAGGGTGGATATAGACGCATTAGAGAACATACAGAGAAGAATGACTAAAATGATTTGCTGTGTAAGGAATCTCCCGTATGAAGATGGACTTAAAGCCTTAAATCTCCACTCTCTGGAGAGACGTAGAATGAGGGGAGATATCATTGAAGTGTATAAATGGATGACGGGTATAAACAGAGGAGATATTAATAAAGTACTGAGGGTGTCGAACTAGGTAAGAACCAGAAATAATGGATTTAAGTTGGATAAATTTAGATTTAGAAAGGACATAGGTAAGTACTGGTTTTCTAACAGAGTTGTAGATCCGTGGAACAGTCTTCCCAGTGGGGTGATAGAGGCTAGAACCTTGGGTAGCTTTAAGAAGAGATTGGACAAATATATGAGTGGGAGGGGCTGGGTTTGATTGGAGTCAGTGGGTACGGGAGTTATTTCTTGGGTAGCTTTAGGTAGAGGTTGTTTTGATAAGGACCTGCCTTGCATGGGCCAGTAGGCCTTCTGCAGTGTTCCTCCATTCTTATGTTCTTATACCCAGCTGCTCCAGCCTATTGGGATATAATTTTTCTTATTATTTAATGCTGTTGCTTGCTTGCTTGCTTCCTCACTCACTTGTTCATCATCATCGGCTGCTTTCTGGCATTTTCACTTCTTGACCTGTCTTTAAACTTTTTTACACCACCTTTTTTCTAGTATGCCTTGTTTCCTCTGCTTTTTTTCTTTCATGACTTCCAGCCAAGGTACTATGACTTTCACTATTACAAAATCAAATAATCACGAAATTATTCATCAATCTGGTACAAATAAACTGAAATGAGTATTGTATATTTCTGTTGCTTATGTAAGTAAAGTAATAGTAGGCCTACTAGCTCATGCTAGGTGGGTTCTCACGCCTAAACTGAGCCCCTCTTTACCAGTTTGCTATAGAAAGCCTTAGTGTGAGGTTGATCTGTGGATCACTAATGTCTGCTGTTTTGTTTTGTTGGTTCACATAAAGATAATACGTATTAGGAAACACTTTTAAATGAGCTGAGACAGGTAGCGGCTTTTAGCTTATATAATAATGCAGTATATATTAGCCTACTGCTGTAACAACATTGTGTAAAAAAAAAATCGCTACTGTGGATGGAAGCATTTATGAAAAAAAAACACATTTTGGAGAGGAAACCTTCAATGTTGTTTCAGTGCATCCTGAATCCTCATGAAATCAGAACTGTGACTTGATACTAGTCGACCCCTCGAGGGAAGTGCTATGGTACTGGTGGATGGCTCTTGATCCAAGGAATTAGATTTATCCTCTCTTGGATTGAACCTGAGTGCTTTATTTCCCAAGGTGCTGTATGATCTCCACAGGTTTCGTGCTTTCCCAGTAAATGTAGCAGTAACATATAATGATTCTTGTTGATGATGGTCCAAAACATTGTCTTAGTGTCCTCTACAAAGTTTGAATTATTTATAAACATATCTGTTCATTTATATCAATAATTAATATTTATTACTTTTTTCCCTTTAACTCTTAAACTGTCCAAACTTAGATCTATGTTTGCACCGCTAGTGCTCTGAACATAGATCTACTTTTTTTTTTTTTTTTTTTTTTTTTTTTTTTTTTTTTTTTTTTTTTTTTTTACATTTGAGAGCATGTAAAATAAAATGTAGATCAATGTTCGGAGTGCTAGCGGTGCAGACTTAGATCTACATTTGAACAGTTTAAGGGTTAAAACAACTCTTCAGTGTTATATTTTCACATGATGTTTTTTTCACTTTTGCTTTAAAGTCATAAATAATGATCTAGAATTGAAGACCCTTCTTGCAGTTCACTTGTTTATTGTTTAATAATACTGTATTTTTTGTGTAGTACACTGTAAAGTGTATAGTTACAAACATACAATAGGTACTGTATTCACATTGATAAATAGATAATCTCTTGACAGATGGTGTATCAGATCATTTTGATTTAAGTGGGCTTAGTACAACTATGACGGACAATAGCAGAGCTTCACCACCAAAATCCAAATCTCCAGCGGCCTTCTTGGGGGAAAATTGCAACCTTGTAAATTTGGATAACCTTGTGTCTGCTAAACAGTTGCCTGCTGGCTTAGGTAAGTAGTGTAAAGGATTTCGAAGCAGGGAAAATGCTTAACTTCTTTTTATTACTAAAAATAAGTCTTGGCTACCTCTTGTGAATGTTGGCAAATTTTCTACAGTATATATGGTGGCATTATATAAAACAACAATCTTGTTTTGTATCGTACTCTCTTCTCTGGGATTTTTGCACTGGTTAGTGACAAGCTTATATTAATAAAGCTTACTTACTGCACCTTAACTTTACTTTTATAATGTATATATACTGTGTGTTTGTGCATGCGTGTGTGTTCTCACCTATTTGTGGTTGCAGGGGCCAATTCTTAGATCTTGGCCCTTCCTCTTGACTTACCACTCTTCAGATCCACTCCCCCTTATCATGGCCACTTGTAAAACTGTGTGGAGCCTACTTCCATCATGTGACAAGATCGTTCCACTTCTCAACCACTCTTAAGATTGAGAAAAATACTTCCTAACATTCCATGTGGCTCATCTCTTGACTTCAATTTCCAGCGGTGTCCCCAAGTTCCCATTCCTTGCCTTACCTGGTCCCCTGAGTATTTTGTTGGTTACGTTTTTCTCCCCTGGTTCTTCTGTCATCCAATGTCATTTGGTCCAATTCTGTTAGCCTCCCCACTTGGCTCATGTTTCTTAGCTCAGGCACAAGCCTTGTTGTATGCTTCTGCACTTTCTCCAGTTTCTTAATATACTTTTTCAGTTGTGGATTCCATACTTGTGCTACATACTTCAAGATGGACCTCATGTATATTATATGATGGGCCCAGAATAAAACTGCTGTTGCGATTCCTGAAGGCAAGACTACCATTTGATTTGCCAGACAAGCATTGGCTGCAGAGGTTATTCAGCTGGTATGAGCCTCTGGCCTCATACTGGGCACTGTGTTCACCCTTAGATCTTTCTCTTTGAATGAAGTCTACAGCCTCTGTGTCCTAGTCTATACCCCATTTCTAGTCTTTTTGCTCCTTCCCAATCTTCACCCCCCCCCCCCTCTTGTTGCACATCTGTTATTTTGTCATATAACTCTTAACAAGTTAATAAGAGTTTACATCCCTAAACTCATACTGGTTATTGTTTATGAAACCATTTCTCTTCAAGTGTTCTACTACTACTACTACCCCTGATAAGTTTATCCATTACCTTGCAAGGTATGCATGTCAGAGAAACTGGTCTGTAGTTTAATTCCCTCTGTCTCCACTTTCTTAACCCTTAAACGGTCCAAATGTAGATCTACGTTTTCACTGCCAGCTCTCCAAATATTTTGAATTTTTTTTTTAATTAAAGAGGGCAATTTTCTGTGTGTAATAAGACAAAAAAAAAATTTAGGACCATTACTTACCGAGATATAAGACCGTGAAGATGGCACTGGATGCTCACCCGACAGCAACATAGTCCTGCCGGCTGCAGAAGTGTTGCCAATATACATTCTTTTCTCGTTTTCATTTTATATAATTTTTATGTTCTGATAATTACAATTTATAGTAGTTCTTGTGATTTTATAGCCAATCTTTGTTCTGACATTAATATTAGGTACTGAAATAGTACTCAAATAGTCACAAACACACTGACAGGTGAACATTTTCATCTGCCTTGGTTGTTTACAATTGTCTAGAAATATATGCAAAGTATTTATAGGTCTCGGCAATGTTTTAGACATGCTGGAGTATATATGAAACTCCTTGAAGCATGGTGTTGAGACGAGTGTCACTAAACTTCTGACAGTGGAGTGACACTTGATGATAGTGCACTGCTCCAGGGAACCCTGGCTTTATTTGTTTTCACTGTTACACACAAACATGTATGCCTGTCTGTCTGTATCTGTCTATTTGTCTAGCTCTGCTTTTCTGTCTGTCTTTGTCTCCCTGTGTCTGTCTGTCTTTCTGTCTGCCTTTGTGTGTCTTTCTGCCTGTGTGTGTGTGTGTGTGTGTGTCTTTCTGTCTGCATGTGTGTGTGTGTGTCTTTCTGTCTGCCCCTGTGTGTGTGTGTCTTTCAGTCTGCTTGTCTCTGTCTCGGAGAACGGCTCTTAAACCAATGGGTATTACACACTATGCAGTCATCACATCTGATTCCTGATCAAGTGAAAAATGCATATTACTTGCTAGTTGTGCTTATTAAGCCTTATATCTACAAGCACTGTATAGCACTTTGCCTGGAATTTTTTAGTTATCCAAGGTAATTTACACTACGTAGGAAAGAGGGAGATTATTTCCCAGTAAAAGTGGGCCTTAGACAAGGATGTGTGATGTCACTGTGGTTGTTCAATATATTTATAGATGGAGTTGCAAGAGAAGTGAATGTGAGGGTCTTGGCAAAAGGTGTGGAGTTAAAGGATAATCAAACACAAAGTGGGAGTTGTCACAGTTGCTTTTTGCTTATGACCCTGTGCTTTTGGGAGATTCTGACTTGAAGTTGCAGAGGTTAGTGGATGAATTTGGTAGGGTATGTAAAAGAAGAAAATTAAAAGCGAATATAGGAAAGAGTAAGGTTATGAGGATAAAAAGATTAGGTGATGAAAGATTGGATATCAGATTGAAGGGAGAGAGTATGGAGGAGGTGAATGTATTCAGAAATTTTCTGAGTGGACGTGTCAGCAGATGGGTTTATGAAAGATGAGGTGAATCATAGAATTGATGAGGGGAAAAGGGTGAGTGGTGCACTTAGGAGTCTGTGGAGACAAAGAACTTTGTCCTTGGAGGCAAAGAGGGGAATGTATGAGAGTATAGTTTTAACAACGCTCTTATATGGGTGTGAAGCGTGGGTGATGAATGTTGCAGCGAGGAGAAGGCTGGAGGCAGTGGAGATGTCATGTCTGAGGGCAATGTGTGGTGTGAATATAATGCAGAGAATTCGTAGTTTGGAAGTTAGGAGAAGGTGCGGGATTCCCAAAACTGTTGTACAGAGGGCTGAGGAAGGGTTGTTGAGGTGGTTCAGACATGTAGAGAGAATGGAACGAAACAGAATGATTTCGAGTGTATAAAACTGTTGTGGAGGGAAGGCAGGGTCGGGGTCGGCCTAGGAAAGGTTGGAGGAAGAAGGTAAAGGAGGTTTTGTGTGCGAGGGGCTTGGACTTCCAGCAAGCATGCGTGAGCGTATTTGATAGGAGTGAATGGAGACAAATCGTTTTTAATACTTGACATGCTGTTGGAGTGTAAGCAAAGTAACATTTATGAAGGGATTCAGGGAAACTGGCAGGCCAGATTTGAGTCCTGGAGATTTGAAGTACGTACAGTGTCTGCACTCTGAAGGAGGAGTGTTAATGTTGCAATTTTATAAACTGTAGTGTAAAGCGCCCCTCTGGCAAGACAGTGATGGAATGAATGACGATGTAAGTTTTTCTTTTTCGGGCCACCCTGCCTTGGTGGGAGGCAGGCGATGTGTTAATAATAATAAAAATAATAGCTGTACTATGTGTACCTAAGAGAGAGAGAAAGACAGAGATAGACTGCGACAGATACAGGTAGAGAGACAGCTCAAGTCAGTCAGCCACCCACCCAGCTGGCCAGCCTGCCGAATACGTATTACACGTTCCAGAATTGTTTCTCTTTACTTAGGGCATAGGTTATAGGACATTCTGGCAGGATGACACTACCAGTGGTATCAAAAATGAAAGGATGTTGCACAAGTGTTGCCTATGGGCTATCATCAAGGTTTTTGATATTTCCTCGACCACTTGTGGCCACATCCATCTCAAAGCCACTAAACTCTGGGTCAACATCACATGACATCAGTGAATCCCTGGTGTTTGCCATGCTATTTGCTCTAGCTGGTGCTCAATTGAACTAGTGCTCCCACAAGATACTAAGTGGTCCCAGATTTTTTTAATACTGCACACATTGAGTGTCAAGACCCATTCAGTACTGACCAGGCATCTCAGGCCAATCGTGCGAAATTTGGAAGCAGGAAAAATAAAACATTGATCTATGTTTGGAGTGCTAGCAGTACTAACGTAGATCTATGTTCGGACAGTTTAAGGGTTAAATATAGTGACTACAATTGCTGTCTTCCAGATCTCTGGTAACTGTCCCATATCAAGTGACTTATTGTAGATCATAGCTAGTGGTTTAGACAGTGCTTCTACACCCCCTCACAGAATCTATGGTGATTCATCAGATCATTACCCTTGATGTATCCAGGACCATCAGAAGCTTCTTTACCGTCGCCCTTTTGCGCGGATGGCATCCAGTACTTGTCAGTGCTCCCCATTCCCCCCTTCCTTTCTGGTATTGCCCCAATTTCCACTGAGAAGACTTCTTCAGATCTTTTTATCAGTGCTTCACAGACTTCCTTGTCATTGCTTGTGAGCTCTCATTCCTTCCTTCCTCAGTCAAATTACTTGGTCCTTTACTATCATCTTTCTTTCATGTGGAAATAGTGTTTGAGCGATTGTTGTATTTATTTCATCATATGCATGAAAGAATAAGGATTGGCAGAAAAGGTGAGAGAGTGTAAGACTTTTAGATAAACATGCCTATTGAATATACTGGGTAAAGTGTATGGTAGAATTGTTAGTGAGCAAGTTAGGGGCAAGACAAAGCAGGATTGTGGAGGTGTAAGAATGGTGTGTAGACCTAGTGTTTACAGTGAAGATGTGTGCTAGTGATACTTAGATAAGAATATATTTGTTACATCTATGTATTTAGAGAGGGCATATGATAGTGTGATTAGGGAAGAAATGTGATATGTTATAAATGTATGAGATAGGTGATAGGTCCCTAAAAGTAGTATAGTGTATTGTAAAAAAAAATGCAGATAGTGATGCTCATGTTCAGGAAATGTACAAGGAACAGGGACCATTTTCTAATGAAAGTGGGACTTGGACAGTGTTGTGTGATTGCAGCTTTTTTTTTTTTAACATGTTTATAGTGAACGCTAGTGTGTTGAGGAAAGGTGTGGAATTAAAAAATAATGAATCTGATGAAAAGCGAGAATTACCACAGTTAATCTTTGCTGATAACAGTTTTTTGGGAAGATTCTGAAGAGAAGTTTTAAAGGTCAGTGA